TTATTATTATTATTAAAAAAAAAAAAATCTGGCGGGTAAGTTTAAATGGCATTTTATCTGAATAAATAATGTTTTAAAATTTTAAATCCTGATTCAGTAGGGAATCAAGGTTTTCATAAGAAAAACAACTTTTAAAAGCTTCTTTTTCATTTCCAATAAAAAGATCTATCCCAGATTATTAATAGTATACACGTAGACAAGTATTTCAACTCTATAATTGAAAATATTAATAGAAAATTCTGAATTATTACAAAATATCAATTTTTATTAATAAATGTAATGTTCTTAATCTAGAATATACTGGTAGTTTTATTGCTATTTGGGAATAAACAAAAATTGAATTTTACTTTTTGTCTTAATTTAATTCAGATATATAAATAGATAATTATAACTAGTGATGTATGGCATCGCACCTTAAAGAAAATTGCTGGAACTTTCCGTATCGTAACGAAATGTTCGAGAAATATTAAATGTTTTCAAATAGATTATTATAAATAAATACTGTAACATTGTCTTATATTTATAAGAATTATATAAAAAGAATTGCAAAGTTAAAATTATTTATTCAAAGTATAAATAATGTTTAGAACTTTAGCAAGAATTAAAATTAAAATCCGAGTTATTTTCGATATACAAAAAAAAATTTTTTTGGGGAAAAAAAAATTTGAAATTAAAAAAAATTATAATTTTGAAATTTTAAAAAAATCCAAAAGTTGTGTGTTGACAAAACAAACACAAGCAGAAAGTTTTTTGAATCATTCAAATTCGCTGCATAGTTCTCTCAAAAACTGCCAATTTTGTACATTCAGCTCTGTATCTTCGAAATGGCTAGACCTGCCTTTGTCAAAAACTAACCACCACTTCTCCTAATAATTACTAATTGAATGTTTTTTAGATCATTCAAATCGGATGCTCCGTTCTCTCAAAAACTCGATCTGTATTTTCTGCACTCTTTGCTCTTCATCTCCGTAACGGCTGGACTTGCCTTTGGGAAAAACTAATCAGCACATCTTCCTATCAATAGGAATCGAATCTTTTTTTAACTATTCAAATCGGTTGACCCGTGCGCCCGAAAACGTGGATAAAAAATTGTATCCATACATACATACACACAAACATCCATTTTTTCTAAGGTATGCCAAACGTGAAACGTGAAAATATGCAAAAATGTTCATTTTCGATTTTCTGTCTATACTAATACGTGTATGTTTGAAAATTTCGAAAATTCTATATTCTCTGAAAAAGATCCCACATCCAATTATTAAATTTTTGAGTAAAAAATACTGAATTTCCCTATTGTCTTAATTTTTTTCAAAATATATAATAAAATATTAGGATTGCATTTAGAAAATATTATATAACGAACCTAGCACAACAATTTCTTTTATATGGAAAACTAACAAAGAAATTATATTGCTTCTCATATGTGTTTATTTTTATTTCACTTATTTATTCGAAGGTGATTTTTAAAAACTGTCTCAATTTCACGATTTTACTAATTAGAATGACTGAAAGTACTTTATAAAGTACATATATAATATGCTGGTACATTATAATGGAGAGAACCATTTACTTATATCGAATGTTAATATTATTATTATTTTATTATTTTTAATATTGTTTTTTTGTTATATTTATGAATATTTGTCATTTATTATTTTTCTAATATTATTTCTATTATTCAAAAAAAATATTTATTTTATTCATTAATTTTATTATTATCATTATTTGCTTTTATTTTATTAATACTAAAATATCATCATATAGATATCATTTTTAACGGATATATTGTCCTTAATTTTGTATTATATTTTGTTTCCAATTTTTATCTAATGTTACTAGATGTTATTTAGCAGTTATAACTGATATTGAAATTAAAAGAAAAAAAACTTATATCAAACAAGAATCTTTTAAGACTTATGACTACTTCCAAGTATATTCTGATTGGAAACTCGTAGGGCTTCTGCATAAGTCCATTCGAACGGATTCGAAGTTGCAATCATTGATAAAATCATCTGTAAAAGTGCTCCTAATAAAAAAAATATATGATAACACTATCACGTTCAATTATCAAGTAAAATTTGTTCCATGCACCAAAGTCGTTCTTACGGAACACAGTTCATTAGTCACGAACAATTATCCACGTATCAGTCCTGACCGGAACGCACGTTGAGCCGGTGGTGACAAAAATCAGCGAATATTCTTATTCTTATTCACCTGTATCAAGCGTACATTGTCCAGGCAGCAATGATAAAAACGTGATATTTATATTAGTTTTTTAACTGTTTATAAATACTGATTATTGATTGATTTCAATTTGGAAATTTTGCTGACGGTTTTGAAGAGGTGTTGGAAAAATACAGAAAAGTAGTGATTTTTTAAGTTTGTGTGATAACACTGTGAATATACATTAAATTGTGAGTATTTTGATAAAGGTTGTTCGTTGTATACATTAAATACTTTCGAATATTATATACATATAATATCCGAATCAAAGTCGTTAATTAAGTGTATAATAAAATATATATAACAGTGGGTACAATTTTAATATAATTATACTGCAAGTATAATATAACTCCTTAAGAAAACCATCAGTACTAATTTTGAAGGCACTTTATAATTGGGAAAATGATCAGATTTAAAACAAACTTTAAATCTAATATAAATTAATGAAAAAGTACCATCAGTACCAATTTTGAAGGCATTTCATAATTGGGAGAATGATCAGATTTAAAACAAATTTTAAATCTAATATAAATTTATAAAAAAGTTGGATATTAACGTATGAAGTAATTTTGGTTAAGATGTTTATATTTATAAATATTATGTGAAATGCATTATTATTTTTTTTTTATTTTATTTGGCCTCGCTTACTCTAAGCATTTAGCCATCTACAACATTTTTATTTATTTACATTCTAATTTTTATATCATTTTCAATCATGTATCCTATTCTATATTCTTCTTATTTTTTCTTCTTCTTATTTTCTTCAATTCATTTTCAAATTTCTAATTCTATTTAACTTCTAGCTTCATTCCATTTTTTTCTTTATTCTTCTTTTAATTTCAGCTCAGTTAGTGTTAGAACCTTGTTTTCAAGTATGAAAAAACATTTACAATAAACACTTTAAAAAAACATTTCATTTAATATTTTCTTTAAATAGGTACATAATATATTTATATAAAAAAGCAAAAGATTTGAACGTTAATAGTAATTAGAACGTTGTTTTGAAAAATGATAAGCTTTAAAAAAATCATTTTCTTTCATCTTATCTAATACATAATATAAATTTGTGAAATAAGCTAAAGATTTCATGATATAGAAAACTCATTGTCTTTATTCATATCTATCTTGAAATACGTATATATATAATATAAATTTAAAAAAAACTGACCGTATAAACGTTAGCAATAATTTTTGTGAGAGCGTTGTTAGAGGTTTTGTTCCTCAATTCCAAAATTATTACTTTTCGATTATGATGTCATGAGTTATATTTATAATAATCAAGTAAATAAAAACATTACTTAAGTGTTCTTTAAAAAAAAATGATAGCTCTCAAATATTGATTGAAAAATATTCGAATTTTTATTTACATACGTTGTGTATAATGATTTAATTGATTGGATATTATAATTGATTTTGAGAAACCTCATATTAACTTTATATAAATTTATATAATATACAATTAATTGTATTCAAGCAAGTATAACATTAATTTTAAACAGAAGTAAAAATGAAAACTTCTCACTTATTTTTAGTGCAAAACAAGTGACAAAATTAGGTGCAAGTGGTATTTTGCCTTGAGGAACGATTTAATTAATGAGAATTGACCCAAACTTAGATAAATTTTTATACCCATAATATTTTAGGATGTTCGCTTAGAGCACAGGTTTCCAAACTTGTATGTGTCGTGGACCCGTTGGTTTTGCTATGGACCACCTATTTAGCCGAAATCGATTTTTTTCATAAATTTCTATTTGTACTATCTTTTAGTTAGTACATTCAGAGTGAAGATACAAATACAAGTTTATAGACATTAATTGGCTTTAAAATTATAATAAAAAATAGATATTAGCAAAGTGGATTGTGATCCATTATTGTGGATTTCTAAAATTTTTATTCGTTAAAGTGGATCCCTTGAAAGTTGTCATGGATACCTAAGGGACCATAGGGGCCACTTTGGGAATCGATGGTCCAGAATTTTAGACCTTGAACTCATCATACAGAGTCTTTTTAAAATCGGTGTAAAAACGTTTAATGATTTCCAACTGATACTTTTCAGGGGTCCCATAGGGGTCAGTTTTACCATATGGGCCACTTTGGGATCGATATATAGAGTATCTTCAAAATCGATATAAAAACGTTTTTACTACTTTCCAACTGATATTTTACGAACAAACGTTACTTAGAACGTTTCAAAATCGTTTCAGAATTTTTTGAGAAAACTTGGACCAAAAAATTTACACTTTTTTGCGAATTATTATAGAAACGGCTCGGCCGACAAAAAAAATACACTTTTTTGCCAATTATTATAGAAACGGCTTGGCCAATTGTCGCGTTTCATCGACTGGCTTTTAAATTTTTGAAATTGGTGCAACAGTTTTTAAGAAAACGGCGACGAAAAGTCTAATTTTGGATCATACGCGCAGATAGTTTTTTCAATTTAGGTATCAAACGTTTCAGAATTACTTAAAGAGTCGAGAAAGCAAAGTTAAAAGAGAATTTTCTGACGAAAACAGACTCTCCTCCTGGAAGTTAATAAAATATCAGCGACATCTAACAAATATTATTTTGCGCTTTTGCAATCTTACTGACAAGTGGAAAAAATCTTTGTTTTGTTTTAAAATTTGCATACATTTGACAACTGCGTTTCTTGTTGAATCACGAATACTATGCGTAGTTGCACAAAGTTATTGTTAAACAATGATGCATGCAGTGTTTATAAATGTTTTGTAATTTTTCTACTAAACTTATATTTTAAATTTGACTAAAGAATTTTGACAAATATTGTTTTTACTCGTGTTTTTTTTATTAATTAATAAATATGGATAGCTCAAATGAAAGCGAGAGACTTTTACCGGGTCCGAGTACCGAATATGGCACGGGCAGCTATATGGTACTCCTATTTTATTGTCGACCCGACATTTAATATATATAATAAGTCAATTGTTGATATAAATCAATGAGATTGAAATAAATTAATACAATTTATAATTACAGCCCATCATGCCTGATGCAGGGTATACGCCCACTCCTCGGCCAGGTAAAAAGTTACCGCAGTACATTGCTGCACTTTCAGGTAAACACAAACATAGATATATTTTAAAATACAAGTGAAACTTGATTAAGAAATGTTATATCACACTAAAATCAACTGATCATGGTTGAAATATTTTGATAATTTTAACTGTTTTAACTTTTTTAAAATACCTCGAATATGCTTTGTCAAGATTAAGGAAAGATTTAAAGTTTTAGAGAATTTTGCTTTGCGAAGATCGGAATAGATTTCTGTTCTAACATTGAATTTATTTATAGCTACACTAGGAGCATTGGCAGCTGGTACTATTCTTGGCTGGACCTCACCAGCTACAAAAGATGCCATAGAGAAAGAATATGGGTTTTCAGTTAGCAACGATGAATATGGATGGATCGGTTCTTTAATGACTATTGGAGCTGCTTGTATTTGTTTACCTATAGGAATTCTGATAGACGTACTTGGAAGAAAACTTGCTATGTTGCTTTTAGTGTTTCCTTTCACTTTAGGCTGGGCTTTGATCATATGGGCAACCAATGTAGGCATGCTATACGCTGGTAGATATATTGTGGGTGTCTCTGGAGGAGCATTTTGTGTGGCCGCTCCAATTTATACTGGAGAAATAGCAGAAAAGGAAATCAGAGGCAGTTTAGGAAGTTACTTTCAACTTATGATAACAATTGGTATATTGTTTGTATATGCCATTGGATCTGCTGTAAATGTATTTTATCTATCCATAATTTGCGGAGCCATTCCTTTAATATTTGGGGCTGTATTTTTCTTCATGCCAGAAACACCTATGTATCTAGTCTCACGAGGTAAAGATCAAGAGGCTAAAAACTCCATAAGGAAACTTCGGGGAGATGCATATGATGTAGATTCGGAACTAATAACTTTGCAATTAGAGCATCAGAATAATGTAGCAAATAGACTGCCAATAAAGCAGGCTTTCACTACCACTGCCGCAAAGAAAGCTTTAGCAATATCAATGATGCTAATGTTTTTTCAACAAGTATGTGGTGTAAATGCTATTATCTTTTATACATCCAACATTTTTAGAGATGCCAATTCTGGCATCAGTGGTAGTGATGGGTCAATAATTGTTGGTGTGATGCAAATTATTTTCACTTTTATTGCTACACTTACTGTAGATAGATTAGGAAGAAGAATTTTACTATTAGTTTCGGAGACACTAATGGCCGTATGTTGTATATTAATGGGTGTTTACTTTTATTTATCAAAACAACCTGAATATAAAGATACGGTTAGTTCTTTATCATGGCTTCCTTTATTCTCTTTATGTGTTTTCATAGCTGCATTCTCTTTGGGCTTCGGGCCCATTCCTTGGATGATCATAGGTGAATTATTTCCACCGGGTATTAAAGGAGTGGCTGGTTCAATATCTGCTACGTTTAATTGGGTTTTAGCATTTATAGTAACAAAAACATTTAATTTAGTACGAGAAGATATTCCTTTTTGGGTGTTTGGTAGTTTGTGTATAGTTGGAGTTCTTTACATATATTTCTTTGTTCCTGAAACTAAGGGAAAGTCTTTGACCCAGATACAGCAAATGCTTGGAAATGAAACTAATATTAAAGAACCTTTGCCTAATGATAATGAGAAATAGTTTTTATTCCCATATTATATATAAACTTATTTTAATATTAATAATTGTTTATGATCTGTGATGCAATCCAAATGTTTGTTAATGTATTTTAATAATTTTAGAGTTAATATGTACTTATGCAAATAAATATTTTAAATGTATTCTTAGTTAATTTATATTACATTTAAAAGTAAATACCTTAGGATCCATTTTGAAACATAGCCAAATTTGTTAACCTTTCATCACATATTGCAAATATGGTAAATCACTTAATTTATGATAAAAATTCTAGGCACAAAATTGCGTACTACTTCCTTACAAACACATGTTAATAAAGTCACCAAATTATTACTAAACGCATACTACTTTCCCGACTTATAAATAAATAAATTTAAATAAGCAAACGTTACAAAACAAACATCCCAGACAATTCATAACAAATGACATAAACTGAAGATGGCTACAAGTTGTATCCGTTGCGGCATCACCATAGATAAATATAAATAAGCATAGCACCACCATAGATATGGCTAAATTGATTTTTGTAGACATAGATCTCTTATTGTCTAGGACAGCGATCATAGGTTTCCAAACTTTTTAAGTCGCGGGCCACTTTGCTTGCGGTTTCGCGATAGACCGATTCCGATGTCGATTTCTAATATATTTTTGACTGTACTACATTAAATCTCTTAATTGAATTTTAAAATCCTAATTATCAATATTTGATTATTCTGTAAGGTTTAATCTAGCATAACCTGGCTAACGATATACATTCTACAACTTTTTTTTTGTTAGAAGATCTGTAACAACACTAAACCACCCTTTCACATTGCAAAGAAATAGCATATTTTAAAAATATTAACCTGTCTTTTACACTATTATCTTTAGTATCCATTTACAAAAATGTATAATATTTTTGATTCATTAAAACACAAATTATGATTTAATTAATATTTGAATTATACAAATAAAATATTTTTTTATGAACAGCTCTTAATTCAGTGCAAATTTTCAATAATTCGAAATATTTTAAAGAAAACTATTTTCATTCATATATAGATCGTACTTTGCTGACAATCATGCTTTATTTTTGCTTTCATAAATCTTCCACGATTTACAATAATTTAACTATCCAAATCCAAATAAATTCAAGTATTCTATTATTTCATGTGCTCATAATTTAAAATACACAATTACATAAAATCGTCTTAGATGTTACTAAATTTCTTTTTACAAAATTCCAGCAAGTATTTAGGGTCACTCATTTAAATCCAAGTCTTCTAATTCATCATCCAAAGCATCAAGATCTTCATCTAAGAATAGATTCTCATTAATTGGAACTGCAGATTCAACTTGTGAATTAGAATTTCCATTCGTTAGAGCAACATCTTCAGAAGATTCTTTTTCTGATTTCAATCGATCTTCAGCTGCTACAGTTCCAGAACCATCAACCTGGAACATTTTAAATTCTTTAAATGTTCTGAGTTTTATTATTGAACAAAATAGTATTAAAGTTTTAATTACTGAATTTTAAATGTTTATTTTAATTTTCTTATATTATTTCATCTCTGAATTCTAAAATATTTAATAAATAATAAATATCACTATAAAAGAAAAAAATCCCATACATTAGGTTAATAACACTAATAAAAGCTGTTGTATCCTACATTAAAATTGTATAGGAACAAAATTCATTACCACTGTTGCGCAATCAAAATAACAGTTTCTATGAATAGACAAAAGACACTGCTCAATAATGAAACAAAGGCTTTAGAGAATACATACATCAATTATGATTTAGAAGATTTAAACATTTAAAAGTAAAACTAGCAAAACCACTAGGCTATTATTGTGCAAAAAAATTACCTCTTGTGCATCAAGACCAATAAGATCTAGTTCCAATTCTTTATATTCAACACTTTCTTCCTCCTCTTCTCGTTGATAAACATCAAATGCTTCATCACCATCTTCAATATCACCTTCAGCAGCAAGTTCAGGATTAAAGCTAAACATTTCACGTCCAGATATTCCCACTTGACGCCCTGCTTTGAAATCATTTCTTTTCTTTTCCTCATCTCTACTGGCAGCATCCTAATTCATAGTTGGTATTTATTATTAATTATTTATACATGAAAATACAGAATATCTTACATGAAAATTATAGTATCAAAATTTGTAATAGATTTAGAATGTTCAATAATAAAATATGGACCATGTTACTATAAATATTTAAGGTACTATTTAAAAGTGAAGTATACTACAAATATTTACTTAAAATCCAAAATTAAAAAATAGGTAATCATAATGTAGTTTAAAAAGGTATTTTTTAGAATAAGCATACCTTTTTCTCTTGTAGTTTTCTCTTCTTCCATGCAATGAAAGACTCTAATGTTATTTTTGTTTGGTTGGGACCAAGAGCTGCTCTTTCTCTTTCTATTAAATCAACTAACGATATTTCATTCTTTTTATCATCTTTAACTTTATCTTTTTTAAGTGTGAAGCCTGGGGGCAAGGCATGTCTATAAAAACATTTTGCACCAGAAGGGCATTCCCAAAACCATCCATATTTTGATTTTTCTACAGCTTCCAAAAAATGTTTGCAAATCTAGAAATAATATATTGAGTGAGTTAATAAATTATTAACTCGATCAATATTTTATGTAAGAACATTAAAAAATATACAATATCTGTGGTTGGCATCTTCTTCTCATTCTCTCCATGCTTTTTTTCTACCACTTCTTTTAACTTTTCTTCATCCCAGTTTTCCATTGTGTCTTCATCACGCATATCAACATAAAGAGAACGTTTTTCTGCTTTACGCTCAATGGTTAAATCATGAGAAAATTTACATTTATCTCCTTTCCCACATTGCCCATTTTTGAAGAAAGCACATAAAACAGATTTTGGATCAGCACCTTTAATTATCAATACATAATAATTAAGAGATTTAACCAGAGAGAATGATTTAATGAGATTTTTTATTTCAAAGATGATGAAAAACCATCCTTAACTTGGTGAACAAGTAGAGCAAAATATAAATTAAAACAGATTAACAGAATCATTTAAATTTAATGCTAAAATCTACTTTAGTATTATCTGCTTTCATTTGCAGTGTTTTGTGTTCAAAATCAATTTGCCTCAAATGATATTCATAAAATATTTATATTATGTTTAAACTTATTATACGTCAGCAGATTCTTATCATCAAATATTGCTGTATGTTACAATTATATAAATAAGTTTTATATACATAAGTTATATATATATTTATATTATATAAATAAGTTTTACGATAATCAATGAATATTTCACTAATCTATTTATCAATGAATAAATTATTTCATTTTAACAAAATAAAAAAATGCAAACCTTTTTCTACTTTCTGTGTCTGGACAGGCCTAAATAATAAATTCATTTCTTTTTGTTCTTTTAATTTCTTCTCCTTCTCTGCTTTCTTTGCATCGGCATTGTTTGCAGGATGTACTCCACCACTTTTTACTTGTTTTTCCACTTGTTGAATGAATTTTTGTTGTTTTGCTCCCTTTTTATTTTTCAAACCAAATGTTTTATCCTAAAAAAATAAATATAAATTTATTAAGTCATATTAACCCCAATTTATAAATATACATTATTATACATACCTCGATAACTTTTTCTTTTTTCTTTTGCTCAGTCTTTTTACTTGGGCCACCGGCTTTAGCTTTCGGAGGCATTTTTAATATATGTTATAACAAAATTATATAAATATCTTTATTTATATTATTAACTAAAATTTACGCAAAAATTTAAAGCAATACGTCAAATATTTTTCGGGAAGAAACAAAGCACATGGACGGGTGACGACGTCAATTCTTATGTTGGCAGAATCGTCTTTTGGAAAATGCAGATGGAAGATACTGCAGATAAGATAATAATAATAGAGATATGTCAAAAATTACGACATCGTTAAAAAAGTAATCAAAATTCGAATTAGTGAGAAATTTCAAATATGCGTAAGAAATAATTTATAATATAATAAAGTAAAAATCTATATATTAATGAAATTCATGATTAGAAGTGAAATGTTTCATTGTGCAATCTTTAAAATTTAAAAATAGGTATAAAGCCGTAAAAAATTATGTATTATTAAAACAATTCAAGCAACTTCTAAATAGTCAAATAATTATCTGCTTTTAATTATAATTATTTTGAAAAGTATATTAAATTTTATAATGTGTACAACAATATAAATCAATATATTGATAAAAGTTATATTAATCAATAGATTGAGAGGAATATTAAGAAAGATTTTATTATATCCACGACATGAATGACAAACCTTTAGAGTTTGATATCACTAAAATGCCTCGTGCACAGCACATAGAGATCATAGATTTGGAGGATGGAAGTATTAATACACAATCTAATCAAAATGGAATTAATAAAAATGAAGACTCTTCACAATTTCGTCGAGATCGAGATAGAAAACATAAGGCAAATAGATACAGGTATAAAATTAAAAATGATTATAATTACTTGTTTGCATAATTTGACTCTAAATATTGATTTACAGTTCAAGTAATAATAAACAATCAGAAAATCGGAATTGCAAGTTTGGTGAAAATAACATAAATTTGCCAAATGATCCTTTATTGCATTGTGCACCACGACAACTAGATGAATTCAGTACAATACCATCAGGAATGCAAGGTTAATGCATTTTAAAATTATTTGCAACTCATATCAACTGATTTATTTTTGTTATTGATTCACATTTAGAATTACAGGATATGATTATATCATTTACTAAGGTTATTATAAAGTTTGCAAAAACTATTCCATTTCTTAGGTTTAATGTATCCCATGATGAATCCTCATCTGGGAGGAAATATTACAGCAGGTATTGGTCCCAACATGGGGACAAATATTGGGCCTGGGGCAAACATGACAAACAATCCTGGTTATATGATGATGGCCGGTATGGGTGGTCCTCTTATGATGGATCCAAATATGTTAGCAATGGGACAATTTGCAATTCCTCCTGGCATGTCTTCTGTTCCATTACCCCCTCAAGCTATACCTGTCACAGCAGAACAAAATGTAGGTCCTCCAGCACAATATAAAGGTGAGTGTTTTACTTATATAATGTTTGAGAGAATTTTGTTTTTATATTTTATACTACATAATATATCATAATATTTTATTTACAGAAATAATAGAATGTGCATCATGCACTTTATATCCTCCACCACCTTCTGCACCACCACCAACAACTCGTGAAAGGCCTAATGGTTGTAGAACTGTATTTGTTGGTGGTTTGCCCGATAATATAACAGAATCAATTATAACAGATGTATTTGAAAGATGTGGAAAGATATACACTCTAAGGCTTAGCAAAAAAAATTTTTGTCATATTAGATTTTTTTATGAAAACTCTGTGGATGCCGCCATTTGTTTGTCAGGATATAGGATAAGAATTGGAAACCAAACTGATTTACCCAATACTGGAAGGTAACTGGCTACTTGCAGAATAATTTAAGTAATTGAATGCTTTATAATAAAATAGTATATAAATTGAATTATGTTGAAACCTGTAGCACTTAACATTTTTCCAAATCTATGTTTGATAAGAATTATATTTAATATGAATATTATAAAAACTAATAATTAATTTGGTTATAAATCCTTATTCCTTTTTTTTATTATGCTTTGTTGATTTAGAAATGTTTCTACATAAAAAAGATGTATTGTTGAAATTAAATTACATAAGAAGTCACTTATGCATTATTCTAACTGTGCATTATTACTAATACAATTTCGTACTTGACAGATTACATGTAGATTTTGCACAAGCCAGGGATGATCAGTATGATTATGAATGTCGTCAAAGACAACTTCAAAGGGAGCAGAGGCACCGTGAAAGACAAAGAGAACGACAAGTATCTCCTCCACCAATATTACATTATACTGAGCATGAAGCAGTTAGCATCTGTGAAAAATTGAAACAGGATGAAACATTTATGTCAGCTGTTCAAGTTTTTATAACTTGGTTGGAACGAGGAGATTGTAGCAAGCGCAATGTTAACACATTTTATTCAATGATACAGAGCACTAATTCTCACATTCGCCGGCTTATTAATGAGAAAGCAAATTGTGAAGAAGAAATGCAGAGGGCAAAAGATGCTTTGAAACAGAAGATGCATGCAGTATTGTCTCAGTGTAAGTAAAATTTTTTCAAACATGCTTTTTTTCTGTACCAATAGAGCATAAAATTTATACTAATGACCATATAATCAACCAAATTAAAATAAGAATATAATTATTCTTTTGAAATATATTTTAATATTTTATGCTCTACTTTCTTAACTCTGCTTCACACATATTTTGAAGGTAGTGTATAAGTGGTGAGTATAATTCAAAATAGAGTCAGATCAGACCGATGGGATTGCAAATCAATAGATTTCAGACTAAATATGATAAATTAAAAATTAAGCAATTACAATATTATCAAAATAGAGGATAATATGATAGTAAGTGTGAAAATTATACTGTTGGTTTATTTTTTTATTATTCAAACTCTGTTCAATAAATATCAAACAAGTCTATTGATATCTACATTCTATTTTGACTGGGTAAGTCCTGTTTGCAATGGGTTAATAAATAAATTTTTAATATTGGTTTCGGGTTGTGCCATTTCATTGGGATAATAGAAAATTTAAAAAATTATATTTTTGAATGGGTTTGGGTATTGAAGTACTCTAACCTTTATAAAACAACTTGCCTCTAGTCGCTCAGATCGAGAAAGTGTTTGGTGCCGCTTGCCACAAGAAGGTCTGGGATCATTTCACCAAAGCACAGAGGAAAAATATTGAAATGTGGAAAAATCAGGCTTCGGTATGTGCAGCTTATAAGACACACTATAGTTTTAATAATATTCTCGACCCATTGTCCCAAGCTCAAACCAAGAGAGATCAACAATATTCAGTAGTTTGCATAACTTATTAAGAAGCATAAAGTTTGAGTTAATTATATTGCAACACACACATGTGTTAATTACAACAAATTGTATTACTGATGAATGAATACAAAACCTACATTTAAATCATATTATATCAAAATAAATTGCAATATTTTTGGTGTTAATAATAATATAGTTATTTAATTATATAAAATGCAAATAACTCCTGGATTGAGCTTTGATGGGGTGGTGATGGTCTTTAAATTTTTGTGTTTTTATTTTTGCACGCTATTATATTTTAAGGTAAATCCAGAAAATATATGCAACAAATATTAATAGATGCCGAGATTTTCTCCAAGGACAAAAAAATTATATGAATATTTTTTGCTCCTTATGTTTAAAGTTATACATGTGTGTAATTATTTTTTATGTATTGAAAATGGTTAGTAATTTAGTGTTAAACATTGGCATTTATGTTAATATTAAACATAACTGTATATATTCATCATACTTATATATGGGATAATAGTAAATTTGTTCCTTTCTGTGATGTTAATTTTTATATGGTGACATACAGGTAAGAATATTAAAATTAATAGTACGATAACAACCGCGAATTCATCATCAAAAAGTATTACATTCATAAATATTCCACGACTAGCAGAGTTTTGGTAAGTGTAGTAGCAGATTTTGAAGAGGCTGGGGATTTTGAAAATCTGGTGACAATGTGTGATTTGTGTTAATAACAATTATTGCATAATAAATATGTTAGTATTAAAATACTTTTTGTAAATTATAGGAATTGCGTATGCTACAGATGGAAGAGTTTGTTGTAAGAGGTGAAGACGAAATGGATATGTCCGATGGTGATGAAGAAAGTTCTCCAAAAAGAAAGAAAGGTGAAGATGCGAACGATCTTAAGGTAAGATGAATTTTCTTAAGCTAAAGTGAGCCTTTGCATTGCATAAATAAAATTAAATAATAAACATGAAAGTGTATGAAAAAATAATTATTTCAAATCTATGCTAATGTAGCATATTAAAATTTTTATACACGACAAAGTTTAAACTAGAGCTTTATTCAAAATTTATATATTTTACTTATAAAAGCAACCCCTTAATAAGTATATATAACATATACATACATTGATTCAATAATGCCTGTTGAAAATCAGAAATTCATTAATTTTAGCTTTGTTATGTAGTATGAGACATTTTAAAACTGTTTTAGGAGGAAAATGATAGCTTGCGCTGTCAACTAGAGGCATATAGAAATGAAATAAGTTTACTGCGTTCAGACCTGACTTCAGAAATAGATCAGAAAAGTCAGGAACTACAAATTTCACAGGAGACTGTTAGAAATATCCTCCAAGAATTGTCAGAAATGAAAAAGAAACAAAATGAAGACTTAAGTAAAATTCGTGATTTAGAATCGCGGCTCAAACAAGCTGGTGTTCGAGAATTGTTACTGAAAACTAAAATAGCAGATGCCAAAAATCGCTCTGAGATAGAAGATGATAAATCTTCAGAACTGTCTGAAAAAAATGAAACATCAAATGATGAAACTTCTAGCATTAAGAGCAGATTAGATGGTTTACAAGTTATAATTGATTTTGATGCAAAGTTTATTGGACTCATATCTACATTTCTCAATGTTCATCCATTCGGAGCTAGCTCTGATTACATATGGTCATACATGCATAAAATAGATTCTTCATGTAATTCTCAAATGATTGAGACATTATTGAGAAAGTATCCAGCAGTTTTTAAAGAGGAAATAAGTGGAGTAGGAGCAAAGATTGAAAGGAAATGGTTATTTAATGGATTTTCTCATGATGCCGATGATTCCACATAATACTTAGGTGCAGAAATGCTGTGCATTTTTGTATTGAAATCATCATTATTCTAGTCATAGTGGAGCATTATTTATCTGACTTCTCAAAAAAGCATTTCAGAGATAATCAACTGAAATAGTATTCGTAATAATAATCTGAATAGTATTAAGGACATGCTTGAAAAACTAATTTTAGATCATGATTTGTTAATAGACGTACTTAAAGCATATATAATATATGTGTGTGCTCCCTTTGCCTAAATAACACATTTTACGAGTAATTTGCATGGCACATAAAACAAATATAAAAAGTAAGTCAGATAACAAAAAATAAACCCTAAAATAAAAGAACTTCTCTTTTTTATATTGTTTTACAATACAATTATGAGTCTGGAATAATATTGTTATTGTTTATTTTCTAATTTAGGGCTACATATATTTAACATGTATGAGATGATCACATGTTTCCGATTTGCCGGGGCAGTCTCGTATTTTTATAGAAGCAATATTTGTCCCACATTCAGGCTTGTAAAACAAAACTACTGTTTTCTATTATATCTCTAGTCTCTTTATGTTAAATTTTAATCATTATTTAATCATATTTAAGTTTATCTTAACTATGCCCCCTCACCACAAGATTCTGTTCAGGATTTAAAATTGTTCCTATTGACAAGCATCATTTCAATATAAAATAATTGGAAAGTTTATCCACTACCTAAATATAATCACTTATTTTAACATTCAATGTAATACTTTTTATATTACACATAATAAAAAAAAAACAATATTGACTTGCCATCTATTGATTTTCTGCTTCTTGTGCCCCAGCTTCCTCGCCTTCCTCTCCCTGCTCTTCTTCTTCCTTTGTTTCAGCCTCTGTTGGAGCATCTTGCATACCTACAGTCCTTTTCTGTTCCTGTGGAACTTCATCGGCAGCCCAAGCTTCGTCATCTTCACCTTCCACTTCCTCTTGTTCATAGATTGCTTCAAAAATGTAAAAATATCAAAATGTAGATTTACTTGAAAGGAATAAAATTATATGTGAATAAAACTGAACTTACGTTCTGGTTCTGGAGGCAACCTTGCTTTACGTTCTTTTTCCACCATCTGGAAATACTCAACTTCAGCTTGTAGAATACCTATAATTGTAGAATAAAATTTGTAATTAATAAACTGATGAAATCTGTTTTGATAGTTTAAATCAGAGAAATATTTTAAAATATACACGTGTTTATGTACTTATTTGCATTAATTGAGAAAAAATTAATAAGTAAAGGTTGCTTCACACATACGCAGATTCTATTAAATGAATAAAGGAGATTTTGCAATAATGTGGTCGTAAATTAGGTAATTTTGTACAAACTTGGATCTGCCGCGCTTTCATCTGTCGTAAGTCGTACAGATACATCTGACGGCACTTCTATTTCTTGTCCCTTTTCAACATCTCCCTCTTGACCCTCTGCATCTTCCTCCATGCCTTCGCCAGGCAGTTCACCAAGAGGTTCAGGTTGTGGTTCCGCAGGTGTTGGTTCTGGTTCAACTTCTCCCAGTAGCTCCTCAGCAGCTTCAGGTGCTGGCTGTGTAACGGGTTACATAGGATATAGTCACGCACATTTTTATACAGTGCCATTGGATAAAAAACATTTTTATATGTTTTGAACAATTATGCGAAACATATTTTCAGGATATATACTTGGACCTATTATGCAAATAAATTAAAAAATATAAATAATATTATGAAGGCTAAGGGCAAATTGGAATCCGAAATCCGAATCGATCGAAATTTCAATCCGAAATATCAACTTATATAAGTTGAACGCAATGTGTTCCGTTCTGCCTACTTCTATTTAATCTGAATCAACCATATAAAGTGTTCAATAATTGTCTGTAGAAAGTTGTGGGTCCAAATTATTAAGGTAAACTATAAATTTGACTATTTGAGCTTCTAAAAACGTTGTCCAACGTATTAGATCTTTTTGGTTTTATGATAATAATGATAATTTGATTAGTGTGAAAATGCTTACCTGAGGTGGTGCTTCTTCAGCAGCTTCAGCTTCGGCTTCAGCTTTAGCTTCTGATTTGAGTTTTAGTTTAATTTCTCTTATACGGCCTTCCAATATTTTTTCGCGCCGTGTTTCTCTCTCAAACATCTAAATATGAAAACGGCGATAATGAGTGAAAAATACTAATTTATACCACTGTTTAATATTTATGGTATTATATATACTCAATTATATACAAAAACTTACAGCAGTGAGCATTGGTTTATCATTTCTCTGGTTAGTGCAGAGGTTCTGGGAAACCTCAATCAGGTACGCGGTGCCATTATCATTGGCAGTAGCGATAAATCTACCATGTTCCTCGATTCTCATACAGCGTAAGGGCACATCACAAACCTTTAATTGAAATGGTATAATTAGTGATTTAAAGTTGATATAATATGCTTCCAAATCTTACTTTTATACTGAGGGTCGGCTCTCGTTGCGTGTTCATGATATCCCAAATGTCAAGAGTACCATCAAATCTTGTGACAAAGAAGGCAGAAAATCTATAAATAAATGTCGGCTTGAAATAACACTTGGAATCAAATTTTATTTATTTAATTCATTCGTTACTTTGTTGGACTCCATGCGCCGGATGTTAGCAGGTGACGTTGTGGACCAGTCCAGATAATGGCGCTCTCTTTGCAATCTTCCGACCAAATCTTCGCCGTCCATTCTCCGACTGTCAGTATATTTTTTACAAACGCCGGATTGCGCATTACTGAATAAATGGGACCAGGGTGAGCAGGAAACTAAGAACAAGGATAAAGAAAATTATTCATATAAAAATCTAAAGTGCTTTAAATAATAAACTTAAATTATATAATAAACACTGATATTTATCTAATAAAATTACCATCGATAAGTTTTCACCTTATACAGTATTTTTTCTGAAGGCAATTTTCCTTTCCTGTTGCCGCCTACGATGAAACCCTGATCAGTGCCCATCATGTATCTGGTAGGTATAGTGGGTTCATACTCTAGAGCCGTTAAACCTAATGCTCGGGACATATCTTGTTCATCTGGTTTTACGGTATCAATTACTAAATTTTCTGTGGGTTTATCCATTTTGCGAGTATCCCACCTAGTTAAAATAAGATAATAAATAACCTTTACCTCCAAATCCATTGACGAAATTGACGAAACCTCCAAAATCAATTGACGAATATTACTATATTTGATTTTCTTACCATTTAACAGAACCGTCCAAGGATGATGTAAAAAATTCAGAACCGCTTTTGCTATTAATCCAAAGGGTCGCGGTTACGGGTTCTCTGTGGCTATTTTCTCGAAGACTCATTTCAACAGGATCAGGACCTTTCCGAGTGTCCCAAGCCGCTACTTGCCCTGTGGTCATGCCACTTACAAGCGAATTCGGATCTTTCTGGTTATATTCGAGGTTAACCATTGGTATAGGAGGTTTAAACACCAGTAATGGTATGTTCGGATTTTCTAAAAAAAGTCAAAATCAATGAACACACCTGAGAAATAAGTATTGGTTTGAATGAGGGTGGAGTAAAATTTCACTCTTACTGAAAAATCTTTAGCTGCAATTAATTTCTCTTAATGTGCATTTTGGCAATAATAAACCAAACCTACTCTATATTACATTTTCGCTCTATATTACAATTTGGGATATAGGCGCTTTCAGATTTGAGTCATTAAATTATAAACATAAATTTATTATATTTTAATATTTCTTTACCTATATCCCAAATATAACAGTCAGTTGGCACGTCGTTCTGGGCTGCTTGAAACTTGGTAATACAATGCGCCACAGCAAGCTTGGTTCCACCATCAGGTGACCAAGATAAATGACTAATTGGGCGCTTGTTCGGAGTTTGGTCACGATACACATTCACAGTACGAGAGGAACAGGGTTCTACCACAACTGCTTGCTCGCATTCTTCAAAATATTTCTGATATATGTTCACGGCATTGTTTTGTAAGATGCAATGTTCCATATCCTGAACGATAAAATGGTAAATGAAATAGGACAATTGTGAAAGAAATAATCGTTTTGATACAAAAATATTAATAAGTGATATTTAAACTATTTACCCGACATAAATCCGAAACAATACGGTTGTAAGCTTCTTCCTTTTCGACTTTTCTTTTATAACGTACAGTTTGTTCAGGATCTTGATAATTGATATCTTTCGGCCATCCTCCTTCGGAGTGGTTCATACCACTATTTGTCACCTCGACTCTAAATCAAAACAGACTATAAAATATAGTATTAAATACAATAGTCGTGAAGCCTTTCGCTAGAGCAATGTTTTCTGAAGCGGTGACACTGATGTACGGGCCAGCGTGCCGCCCAGTTGCGATATTGAACTCACAACAACATATTTTAAGATTTTCTAACTATAATTTATAGCATATATTTTTTTTAATTTTAATTTTATTCTGCAGTCTGTATTTATAATTACATTAAGCAGAGAATGCTGACAAGTTGTTTACAATTAGTTGTTTACAAATTAGTAGATACTCCCAGTGACGTATCTACTAGAGCTAATATAAATTTTTGAAAAGGGGGAAAAATAATACAATGTAGTAAAATGAAAGGATTATAGTTAATTAAACTCTATTAGGGCTCCAGGTATTTTTCTTTTAAGCCTGGTCGGCTGACCATCCTGGTACAAACAACATGCTAGTTGGTTAGGATGGAAGTCTATTATAAAAATGCATATAACATTTAAAAATTACAGTTAACTGTAATTAAGAATTCTTAGGAATACTCAATAATTTAACGCAAGATCCACGCACTGGATGTCGTCTATGGACGACTCACTTCTACACACAGGTAGTAGTAATGGGGTTGTGGTCTAAAGGCGACACTCCTAACGAAAGAGTTAATATATTAATAAAGGAATCAGTATACTGCAATTTACTTTTTTCCACATACTTATTTTTTTGTTAACTTCCCGTACAGTAAGTTTCAAAAGTTTTTGAACATTTTGGCATACCTTAGAAAAAATTGATGCATGTGTGTGTGTGCGGATACAAATTTTCGTCGACGATTTCGGGAACACCGATCAACCGATTTGAATAAAGCAAAAAACATTAGATTCGTATTGATAAGGAGACGTGCCAATTAGTTTTTGCAAAAGCAGGTCTAGCCGTTCTAAAGATACGGGGCAAAAAGTGCCAAAAACGGTAACTCACTTTTAAAGAGAACGGAGCGTCCGATTTTAATAATTCAAAAAACATTTAGCGATTATTCAACCGATTTGAATAAAGCAAAAAACATTCGATTCGTATTGATAAAGAGACGTGCCAATTAGTTTTTGCAAAAGCAGGTCTAGCCGTTCTAAAGATACGGGGCAAAAAGTGCCAAAAACGGTAACTCACTTTTAAAGAGAACGGAGCGTCCGATTTTAATAATTCAAAAAACATTTAGCTTGTATTGACAAGATGAACAACTGATTAAATTTTTGAGAAGGCAGGTCCAGCAGTTATGGACTCTCAATAAAAATAAGTTAAAAAAATGTCATTTGGCGGTCAAAAATGATTATTGATATATGTATATCTTAATTATCAGATATTTTATAGAGATTTTAATAATGTGTACACATTTTGTGTACATTTTTTTTGGTTCCGTACCAAGATTTTCAATTACGGTACGGAAAGTTCCAGCAATTTGCTTTAAGGCACGATGCCATGCACCTCACTAATTATAACTATAAATTCTTTCTACTCTGAAAATTTTAGAAAGAAGTATTCGTTAATATAATCTGATGACTGTTGACGTCAATGATTTTGGAAAAATCTCTTTAAATTCAGAATTGTTGACTGCAAAATTACTTTTTGTAATTGAAATATTTAAAATAAACCATTATGAGTAAATATTGCCTTTATTATTAATTTCCCAAAGGGAAGGAGAAGTTTATATATTCCCTGGTGCGCTGAATGACTGTTCAGTCATTCTGAATCGTTTGAGGCTAAAATTTGAGGGAAAAGTATATGCGAGCCGAAAGTTGACCTTTGGTAGACGTTTTCTTAAAAACTGCTATGCCGATTTCGAATTGACAATTAAAAAATAATTTTTATATGAATAATATATTTATATCATCATCATATTACTACCATTACCTATCTGTGTTGACCACATGTTCAGCGAATTTGCTGCTGACCTGCGTAGCACGATCAACAGGATCTTTCAAAATGTATGCATCAAAATCTCTCTTATTTGGCAATATCGAGTCTAAAATTTCGGGTCCTCTATCTGAAAATAAGGTCTGCCGCCCGAACTGCGACCGAAATTTGGTATGCACAAATGATAAATCCATACTTATCTTGATAAATAATAATGAATTTAAAAAAATGACTTTGATGCCTTAGTTTCATAGATGTACAATATACATAAACAAAATTAGTGTTGCCATAGTGATTTATGATATAGGTTAGCGGAAATTATTTTTAGGCAGTTGCAAGCGAAAGTATGGATACAAAAATTATTATATATTTACAAAAGCTTTTAAAGAAATTAATTTGTTACATAATAATTATTATGTAAAATATATACATATTTATGTGTATGGATTTTACATCGCAACAACTAAAAAATGAAAAATGTCCATGAATAGTAGAAATATTTTATATTAAAAATTATTTTTAAAACATTATGCTTGTAAAAATGAATAATATATATATATATATATATATATATATAAATTATTAGATAAACTTAAGTTTTATAATAAATTTATTATTAAAAATTTTAATTATTAAGTTGAAAGCCTGAAGTACTCTTCAACGCAGCTAACTTCAGTATATCAATTTTTTATGTTTATTTCCTGCAGAAAAACCATTGTGCTTTGAAGTTATTATTAATGGTGACATTTAACAGTGATTTGCGTAAAATCCTAAACAATACATTTATGTTTTTAAATCTTTTAAGTAATTTTAAAAGTCTTAGTCAATTGTGCTCAAACCTCATTGATTATCTCTTCAATATGGCTGGTGTTCAAACGATGAAAATAAAAAACATAAACCCTTCAATGGAGGATGCGCTGATTATCGCAGTTATAATTATGAAACAAGCCCCAAAAATTTTTCAAAGTAAAAGCAAACTTAATGAAACGCGCGGAGTAATGAATTTGTCATTACGTGATTCTCCTAATGATGTGATTAATTGCACAATTTGGGGTTCAGAACCTTTTGTAACAAATTATGATCGAATATTTCAGATCGGTAATGTCGGTAAGCAACGCAACTATTTATTTGATATTTCAATTTTTTTTTTCATTTTTATTATAATTGAAATAATAATTTAACTGTCCAGTGAATGTCGTCAAGCCTCGAATTGTAATTCGATCATTGGACCGCAGTGAAAGTTTTCAACCTAAATCAACGTCTTCATTTTCCTTGACTGTTAATGAGGGGGTTGGTGAAATAGTTATTCACGAAGGAGGTAATTATGCAGCCTATATGAACCTCATACACTATCCCTTAGCTCAAGATTATTTGGCTATTAGTAACATTCTGCAGAAGACTCAGGGGATACAAGACGATAATGTAAGTTCTTTGCTTTTAACATAGACTTATAAATGTCAGAATATTAACTCAACAATGGTATATCTTTATACAATTGAAGCCTTAACACAGCGGTTTCCAACCGGTGGGGCGCGCCCCCTTCAGGGCGGGGCCAGGCTTTCCTAAGGAGGGCGCGTGCATCTGTTTCCAGAATACTATTTTTGAAAATAACCCAACATTTTTATAACAATATTGAAAAATAATTAGTTTTTATGCAAATTTTTACATGTATTGCATATTAATTTGTAGTCTGTTAATATCAGTTGATAAAATTTATAGAATTAGATTGTTGAAAAAATTAAGGGGAGCACAAAGAAAGTTGGAAACCACTGTCTTAACATGTTAAGGCTTTTAGACCAGGATTCTAGTAAAGAGACAGTAGGCCAAAATAAAATCCTGCTTGTGGCAAAAAATAAAAATGAAAAGTTTTTAGATCATCCACCGTATAAAACCTCTCCTGGCTTCACCTATATTTTAGTTTAGTTCTTATAGCTCTTGATCGAGCTATAAGTGTATATTTCAATGTATATTGATATCATTGAAATTTTATGAAAAAACATTAAATTTATCTTTAAGGTGAATTTATTAGTAGCTGTGAGGGAAGTAAAACCTATTAAGGAAATAAAGTCAAGAAATGGGGCGGCTATGCAATGTCGAGACGTAATTGTCATGGATCAGACAAGCCCCAACTTTCTCATACAAATATGGGAGAAAACATTCATAGAACGGTACGTAAATATTCAACAATTAATTATTATGCACATTGTACGAATAGTCAAAGCCCAGAATTGTATGAAATATACAGACAAGATATCTGTGTACTTTAATAACCAGGGCTTCCAATACCCTACTAAAATCTGAATACCGGTAACCGATATTTGAAATTTGTAACACCGGGATCCCGGTATTAATACCGGTATTATCAATGAAAAATTTACTAGTCATATATTTAGTTACTGCAGTTGTTATATAGACATATTAACATTATTATTGTTTTAAAATAAGTACAAATTAATTATTTTATCACATAGAGAATATGAGTAGATAGATACAAAAAAACGTCGTATGGAATTATATATTTAAAGGAAAAAACAAATTCAATTAATAACTTATATTTTGTTTATTAAAACATGTTTTTAAAAAATATAAACAATCAATTGTTTCATTTTCACGCGAGGGCCGAATTTTAGTACAAAATTATGTCGGCACAATTGTCATAAGAAAATAATACGAGCACATTATTAGTCAAAATGAATTAGTACTTAGTATAGTGTATTTAGTTTGTAAACAAATCATAATTAGATATCAACACTTCACAAAGACTTATAGAAAATTATTGTATTTACTGAAATAATTAAAATAATTCTATATAAACGATTTCTAAAAATTTGCAACGTACGCATAAGAAAGAGGTCATCCACCACCGAGGCCAATATTATCATTGATTATCAAACTTTTTATTTATAGTGAATTGTTATAATGAAATAATAAACCATTCGAATGATTGATAGGAAGATATATAATGCAGAAAATTATAACGTGTCGATTGTATGCTTTATTTAAAAATCATTGATAACGAATTAGATATGAGAATAATGTACGTGGACGACTAATAATTTTTATAAATGGGTTCCATTCATTAGGTCGTAAGAGGAACCAATAGTATAACACTGATATAATAATCAAAAATATTATTTCCAGGGCATCTCAATGGCGACCACGTGACACCATACTTTATATATCTGATCTAAGAGTGCGTTATTCTGCATTTCACCGTTCTGCAATTGGATCATTTATATCCAGAACAGTCATAACTGAAGAACCACGTGGCATACAATTAAATGCATTGAAAGAATATGCTAAATCTCAGCCTGTAAACGACCAGGCTATGGCTGAGATGTTGATAAGCAACGCTGATATCGATCGTAAATATGTAGACTTTAATTTATTAATATATTATTAGTATAATTAAAAAATAAAAATACTGAATCAACTAACTGAAAGCAAAATTAAGAAATGCTCATACTATAAGGTGCATCTATTCTATAAGGCATCTATTTCTTTAGATTTATAGAGCACCTGTTCTCGATCATGGTTAAAATAAAATACGAGCTTTCAAAAATCATAAAATAATTTTCAACTATTGACTTGTTTTTTCAACATGCCCATTTAGTATGCAATATCCCTTCACGGCTGACAATTGCAAATTCCCCAAATTTATTAAATGTCCTTAACTGGACTGTTGTAAATAAAATAGAGAATAAAAAACAATATTATTATTATTTCAGCGTCCACGATAAACACAGTCATGTCGCTCGCTCAGATATCAGATCGTGCAATTGGAATCGAACAAGGCTCAGGAGGAATCATATCAGAAGACATGCGGGATTCAGCAAGCCAAGAGTTTACCGCTCTTGTTTTTGCAATGATTACGCATTTAGACTTGGATGGTTACCTTAGCATCATCACCACAAAATGGTAATATTGAACGTTACTTTAGCGCCTAATTGTTCACTATATTAAATCATAAAAAAATGATTTTTACAGTGGTAGATGTCGCTTTAGAGTCAGTGATGGAGGTTTGTGCAGTAATCAAAAATGTCCAGTCGGTTCAGGAGAACAGCCGAGTGCTGGTACAGTAACCGCCTTCGATCTTCGAGTGCATGTAACCGATCATACTTGCACTTTGACTAATTTGCGCCTTAATGGGGCTCCGGCAGAAAAAATGCTTGGTTGCACGGTAAAAGAGTTACATATATTCGTAAATATATTATTGCCATATGAATTAACAGAGTCTAATAATAGAGCATAGCATCAATAAAAACTTCGGATTTGAAAAAGCATATTTTTAACAAGGTTCTTAACATATGCAAAACGACTAGTGATTTTTTTTGGCACGTATATTTTTATCACTTTATAAGCTTCGAAATACAAACTAAGAGTTTGTATTACAAAGGGAAGAATCTCGCCATTTTTGCGTAATTTTAATCTTTAATTTTTTCGGTTCCATTATAGAGATTAGAACTTATACTGAACTGAATTTGTTTAATGTTCAATTTTATGAAGGATAATAAATTTATTTTAATTTTAATTAGTAGAACAAAGAAATAATAGCTGACTTGGATTAAATAACTTTGAAAATGATTATTCGTTATTCATGCATCATTTTTACATAATAAAAAAAAATAATTATGGGTGTACTGCCCTTGGGAAGGTCTGTGAGCTAAGTTAAAACTCCAACTCGATTCAGGGAAGAATAGTGTGAGAGATTTCCCATTGCCATTTCACACCGCAGTGCCGCCCTAGATGAGCTTATTTTTGATTGGAAACATATTTTGATCTATATTTTCAATTGAAAATGAACATCGCGCTGCCCGATGTCAGATTGCCAAAGCGGGGAATCGAACGCGCGACCCTGTCCATACAAATTCAACGCGTTAACGACCTTCGCCATGACAAACCTCATTTTTACATATGAGAATATAAATATTTTTATGATAGTGAAAGAAAAGAGTTCGAATAAATAACAATAATACATTTTTAAATAAAATACTTTTAACGCTTAATTAAATAAAAAAATTAGATACATATTGATACATACTTGTTAATGTCAATTTTAGTTCTAAAAACAATTTTAATTAATTAATTTCAAATATTTAATTATTTTCTTGTTTAATGAAATATGATTCGTAAAAGCTGAGGACGTCTATCGATTTGTTATTTAGAAGTGTCATTTGTTTAATCACAAAATTTTATAGAAAATACTCTCACATTTGCAACCGAACTAGGTTTAATCGTTTTTAAAGCGTGATATAATAATTCTGATTTTTTTTTTTTTATTTGTAGCTTCTGGGGCTAAAAACTCTTTTTTTTAAGTTTGAGTAGAGCAATTCACTCCTTCAACAAGAAGTCACATTGGTCTTCTAAATTAATAATACATTCTTATGATAATCTAAATTAGATTATCTTAATATACATTAGACAAAGATAACACAGAACATTTCTGAGAACCACAACAGACTGATTTGATTCTAAGTATCAATACGCTTGCTTCCACCTAATATATTTGTCATTTTCCATTTGCACAGTATAAACCGATTTTTTCCGCAAAAAAACGGTTTTCGAATTTCATAATTTTCGTCAAAAAGCCGGTTTTCAAAACCGGTTTTTGAAAACCGACAAACCCTAGTTAGAACTATAACGACTGTAACCGAAACTAATGGATTTTATAATATATTTTGAAGAAATTCAGGTTGTTTTCTTGATGTTATTGCTCGATTACTAGACTCTGTATCATATTGTAAATGTATTTAAAAATTTGTGTCCATTACAATTAATAGGTAACACAATTCGAGCAGATGACCCCCGAACAGCGCACAGCTCTGAAATGGAACTTCCTAATGGAACGTTGTGCAATACGATTATTGGTAATGAAAGTGACTGCCACTAGACTTCAGCCCATCGTAACCATACTAGAGTGTACTTTGGCCAACCCGGCCGAAGTACTTGCTAAAGTACCAGTCTATTAGTAAAAATTCAGAAGAAAGCATAAAAATAATATTATAACAAATGTATTCTGAGTGGTTAGATATTAATTTAGAAATATGAACAAACGTCACTCTTTTTGCACTAATTTATTAAATAATATTTATTTTACAAACGTTTCGAGACTAGGTTTGTCTCATCATCAGTGTGTTATAATTCAAAATCTAAAACATAGAAATCTATAATAGCATTATGTGTTATCCGTTACAATTTGCTCTTACTAATTATTATTATATTTCTTACTAATTATTAGCAAGAACAAGTTGTAACGGATAACACATAATGCTATTTTGGATTTCCATATTTTGAATTTTAAATAATAATACACTGATGATGAGACAAACCTAGTCTCTAAAAGTTTGTAAAATTAATATTATTTAACAAATTAGTGCAAAAAAGAGTGCTGTTTGTTCATATTTCTAAATTTATATATATATATATATATATATATATATATATATATATCAAGTATTTAACAGCAAAGCGTCAAAATAAAGTATACATTTATTCAAAATTGCACAGCTCCGAGATCAAAATGTGTCTCATCATTTAGCAAGAAAGCACAATAATGATAATAATTCAAAAAAGAAAACAAACTAACATTTTAAACATTTAATTTTACAATTCTAATCTAGTCTTCTTCTTCTTCAAGTTCAACTTAGTTCAAATTATACAAAAGTGTTAGCTTATTTTTTTAAATTAGTTGCTTGAATGATGAGATACATTTTTAGGCTCGAAACTGCACAATTTTAAATAATTTGTAGCAATGAACAAAAACACCCTCATATATATACATTAATTGTTACATAACGCCATTGTGATATTATAAGATTAAATATATTTAAATAAATTAGTGTTGGAAAATAAGCTGAACATTTTAGATATTAATCAAGAATTCAATTAGTCTTCCTAGTCCAGTCATTATAGTAAGTTTACTTCGGAATTCGAGATACCCAGCTGTAAGTCTGTAAATACTTGTATATGTTGTATACTTAAAGTTGTCTCTAAACCTACATATGGTATTGACATCCTACCACATGTAGGTTTTGAGACAACTTTAGGGTGTCAATATACAAGTATTTACAGACTTACAGCTGGGTATCTCGAATTCCGAGATTTTTACCTAATTTAAGCTCAAATGACTGGACTATTTCTATAAAATAATATTTAAGAAAGGATTTCATATATTTATATTGACTTATAGATTTAACATATGATTGTTATTAAATTATATTATAAAGTTATTGTAATTTTATATGAACCATATTTAATTTGTATTTACCGCTATATTTGTTTAAATATTATTAAGTGCTAATTTTATTCAAAACATTTATTCAAAGCTGCTAATCAATAAAAATATATTAATAGTCTTGAAAGATAATAATGTGTTAATATTTATCAACTTTCAATTCAATATATAAAAACCCTTTTAATGGTGTTGTTATTAAAAATATGTTAATTATGAAATAGATTTAATTGATAATAATGTTAAAATATTTTTAAACGTTAAATATAGGATGTAATAACTCATTAGTAATGTATTTAGAACTATTATTGCAAAACCTTGATAAAATGTACTTGTTAATTTACGTTGATAACCATAATTTTGAATACAAAATATATTATTTATGAGAAATTATATTTATTTGGCAAAATAGAGTAAGTGTAAATTAGAAATATATTACTATTATGTTTGATTTTTCTAAAACACCAGAGAAATATTGTGTTTTCCGAAAACTATTCTGAACCATTTAATTTGAAGAATAATTATGTCCTTTGTAGATCATTTTATACGATTAAAAAACGCTTATTTATATTTATTATAATCATTTAATATATACGTTTATGAAAGAATTTCAAGCAAAACAAATGAAACAAATTTATTTTTTACTTATTGATTTATTAAATAGTGGAACGAATAACAGTTTGTGAGAAAACGTTACAACATCGCACAAGTGTTTCTCTACAATTTGATTCAATTTACAGATGCATATGTAATACAGTCGATAATAATTTAAGCAACAAAACATAACGCACGATTACATTTGTGTAATTTTATAACCAACATTTCAATAATTTATTAAATGCACACGTGCAACATTTCTATGCTAGAATTACAAATATGCATGTGAATTTCTAATTATTATTAACATTCTGATAAATCTTAACGTATCAACATAAAGCATATCAATATAAAGCAACCGAGCTTGAGGACAATTATCAAATTTAGTACAAATATTAACCAAAATATTATTTAACAATAAAATAGGGGACTGGCGTTGGACGTTTCATATTAACAACAAGCTATATAATAATAAAATAGTTAAATTATTAAAATATTTTGCAATTTGATTTGAGATGAGAAAGATCATCATGTTTTTTTTTTATTCGATAATCAAGTAAGGAATAATAAAAAAATAAAATTCAAAACATTTTAATGAATCTAATGAATGTGTAAGCGTAACATGTTTTACATTCCGATCTTTTTAACTAACAATAAGAACTATATATTTTAAAATATGTTTGAAATATGCAAGACAACTTATCATCATTCTTTTATCATCTTTCATGGACCAGCAAGGATTTTTGATTGAAAAATCGAAGTAAATCCTACTAATATTTTCTATACAATAAAATTTAATAAACTTTTTCATTAGATTGAAGTGAGTGAAAAATATAATTTTGAATGAAATATAATTATGAATTTTTAAAAAAATAACTCTACATAGCCAATCCCCATCAATTATCATATTCATTTAACACCAATAAATTTTAGTCCTTTTACTCTGCTCTTTTACTATATATATAGGTTACTAGATTTATATATATTAAATCACAGAGAGACATAAAAGATTATCTATTATAATATTTTTTAATATTATGAAATATTTGTGAATTTTAGCGTATGAGACATTTTTTGAAATCAAAATGAGTAGCATCAAAATAAAATGCAACATGCTAAGTAAAACAAAAAATACTTCGACATCTGTGAGTAGAATGGTAGTAATGAATTTGAACAAAAATTACTTACTTTATTAAATAATATATTATAAAATATATTATTGTTTAAAGCTAAATATTTAATTGCACTTTTAATATTTAAACACCGTTTTTTAGCATCGACCTCTCAATTCCTCTTAAAAACAATTACAAACTGAACAAAGAAAATAATTAAAGAAAAAAATAATATAACCTATTAATATTGTTTGTAAATTACTTCAATTCAATTTTAGTCATTGAATTATAATATGCTACTTATTTTGACACCATTTAAACAAAAACGTGTTAACAAAACAATCAAAATATATACTCCACGATTCATTTATTCATTTTCATTTCAAAATGTCAACTAATTATATTTTAATATCCAGTTTAGTATATAAATATTATAATCGTATGCAGTATTTTAAATCATATTCTTGAGAATCTCAAAATACAATACATATGATAAATAATACAAATATACTCTTTGCCTACATAATATCACACAGTGTTTCAATATTTCAATAAATTTATGATTTATAATTGAAATAGAGTTAGTAGTTCAAATAGTGCTAATACTTTTATGTTTATAATATATCTAATTTCAATTTCATGTAGTGTTAGAACTCCTCGAAAAACTGACAGTAGTATTTTTATTTTTATGTCATGCAATGATAATTTTCGAATTGTAATTATCATTTACTTTTGTATTTAACTTTTATATAATTTACTCAATTTTATTTGCAGGTTTACCATAAGTTGTTCAATTTTATAAGATCGATTCGTTTGTTCCAAACCTGCTTTATGCGATTAGTATTTCCTTAAAATATTTTTAGTGATTTTTTTGACTTGGTTTAACATAAGGGCAATAAAATGGGTACATATCGAACACTGATTCTATTAAATGAATCTATTTTCATCTAATCCTACCTAATATTATTTCAATCTATCAAAATGTTTTAATAAATCCCTAAATAGTTTGTAAAGCTGATGGAATTTATGAATGTGAATATTGTAAAATGTTCGACTCAAATACAAATAATACCCTTGTGTATTTATCTATAGTGTCTGACTTCAAACTTATTATACAAAAATCTAGAATTAATCTAAATGTCAAATTTTTTTAAATTTTGTGACGTTGAAATCTCACAAATCAAGAAAATATTTATAATTTTAAAATTGTAAAATTTGCTACTTAAGAATACTTTTGTAAATAACTATTTGACTTCATTTTGTAAAGATTATAATGTTATATAAATTAGTAATTAATAATATACTTAATGGCAAAAAAGTATTAAAGTACCAATTATTTAAGCTGCCTAAACATCTGACTAAACCCAATGAATTTATGTACAAATGGAATCTTAAATCTTGATAAATTTATAAGAAAAAAATGTTTTGAAATATCTTTTCATAGACTGATACAGATAATGAATAAGTAAGTTAAGCAAATATATAATTAATTTTTTAATAACGAGTATAATAGCAGTATTCATTATGTAAGGTTATTCAAAAAATGAATATAAGCAAGAACCATATTTAAGTACCCACACCAAAAAAAATCAAAATTTAAATATGAAAAACTAATAATTTAAACTTTAAATATTGAAAAGTCTGCTATATATCAACATTGTTCGAAATTAGACATCTTTGGGATATTTTAGCAATATATGAATGAAATATGGTAAATACGAGAAACATTAATATATTTTAAATTATATTATATTGAACAAAACTCAAGAATGCATGCCCGTCATGACTTTTTCGCATTTAAAAAAAAATGTAAATATTTAATATCCTTGATAACAAATTAAAACTTATTCTTGACTTTCTTAGTCAGTACAAAATGATTTCCGAAATATATACTATAAAATTCCGCCCAGCCACCCCTCACTATTGACTACAATTAATTTTGAATGAATAAGTATCAATAAACATCATATGATCACAAATATATGTTTGGACCCTACCTCAAGTGACTTGTCTTCATTCCAAACAGGTTTCATGTAATAGAGATATGATCAATAAATTTCATTAATACTTTAATCTTTACGAAATTTGCCCCTCCTGGACAGACCCGCGGGTCATACGTAGTCCATAGCAGACTTGGGTTTGTAGTCGCCTCCCCTGCGCGACATTTGTCGTTCGCAGAGTTTTTTAATCTCTGATATTATGAACACCGATGAAGTCAAGCAGATCAGAAAGACAAGATCTATAAAAAAAATTCAATATAATTACAGAAAATTTGCAATATCTATATATCAGTTCAATATGGATTAAAGAAAATTTAATCTATAAAGAATAGTAATAATAAATTTATAAATCACATGAAATTTAGTATGTATTAACTCACCCATGAACGTGAGAGCTTCAGTCTGGAAAACCATTTGCAATGGTGGAAAATATATTACAAGCATCTGTCCAAGAACTGATAAAGAAACAGCAAGTAAAAACACCTTATTTGTGAAGAATCCTACTTTGAAAATACTTTTAGTTTGGGAACGGCAGCTCAAAGCATTGAACATATCAAAAAATACAAAGCAAGTGAATGTCATTGTGGTATCTCGTGGCGTAATTCCATCTGAGCTCATCTAAAAACATAATATATTGTAAAATCAATAATTCAGGTAAAAATTAAGTTATGCATACTTCTCTCTGAAAAACCCATAGTGTTCCAATTATAATAATAGATGCAGACATTAAAACATTAATAATGAGATTTCTTGTAATCATAGGTTCAGATACATTTCTAGGTTTTCTTTTCAGGATATCTTTATCAACTGGTTCAACACCTAAACTCTGTGCTGGGGGACCTAAAATAATTTTGTTACAATAAAAAACAGATTTAATTTTTGAAGTAAAACTTCTTCAGACGCGACTAGAGTGTAAATCCGTACAAATGCAACGGAGTCCGTTACGTCCGAACAGTTCGTCATTCGCTCTCGATGAGATCATTTCTATACGTGTCATAAGTTTATTTAAATAATTTCCTTATTATTCATAGTTTCTAAAAATTTTTGATGTTATTGAAATGGAAAATATTTTTTAGGCAAGACAGATATTACAGCTGTTCAAAGAATGAGATTATATCGCCCGCGAAGAAGTAGAAAATACAAGCATTCAATGAATGTATGTTAATTCTAATTACATGGAGTTCTTCAAACAATTGCATGATGAGTGAAGTTGCAAAAACAATATTTAGGCATTAGGTTTAGGCATTGTTTAACATAATCCACTGTGTGAACAAATATTATAGAATTTATTAATCAGCAATTACTTCATTTTTCTAATGAAAATTCATTTCCAAAAGCTAATTACAATGACAAACCGATCATGTCATATTTGAATTATGACTTTAATTACATTATTGTTTTTAAATATTATACATATTTTAAATGCTATTATAAATATATAATTTATAATTTATCATTATATAAATGTGTATAACTGTTGACACTAATAAATGTGTGCATCATGAGTGTTACCATATTACTAATAAACATTATTCAAAATTGTTATAGGATGTATTTATTTTATCTTAAATGCCATCTCGTATAATAGCAAAAAAGTTTTACTTCGATCGCGTTTGAATCTCTCGCGCGCTCTTTTTTTTTAATATTTATATCTACTTACCATCCATAATTATATTTATCCATAAAATTTGCATAGCATTCAATGGATTAGGGATTCCAATAAGAGTAGCAAGAGCAATCAATGATAATGCAGCAATTGAAGTACTAAGTTGAAAACGAACAAAATTTCTAATGTTGTAGAAAATTCCTTTTCCTTCCTCAATTGCAGAGCTATAGATTAAAAATAACAATGAAAATAAAAATTATATGTTTGTATCTATATATAATTATTTGCATATTACGATCTTATCTAAAATTATTATATGTAATATTATGTCTATTAATTAATAATTAATAAGCATAATATTACTTATACTATTAAAAATGCTTATTAACTGCAGTACATTATTTAATTATGTATATAATTTAAAGTGTCCATTATTTTTTATTATGAAATATGGCCTTTGAGACATTTCAACTTAAAATAGCCATACTTACAGTATTGTATGAAAATCATCATCAACCAAAATCATATCAGCAGCCTCCTTACAGACATCTGTACCATTTTTGCCCATTGCAATTCCTATGTCTGCACGTTTCAACGCGACGCCGTCATTTACACCATCACCAGTCATTCCTACTATTTGTCCAGATTTTTGCAAAGCCTAAAATACAAGTTAGAGAACCATTATAGAAAATATTATTTATCATGTTATGCCATTTATTTATTGTATATAAACATTTGCAGACCTTGACAATTGCCAATTTGTGTTTTGGTGTTACTCTGTAAAAAACGCATACTGAATCTATAGTCTGTTCAAGTTGTTTTTCACTAAGAGAGTCTATTTGTTCGCCAGAGAGAGCCTGCATGTGTACTGTGTCCAATCCAATCAAAGATGCTGAAAAAAAAAATTAACATTGAATTATAAAAGTCAGAGCAATTAGAAAAATGAATAGATTAGAAATAAGATTACATTAGTACATTTGTACAGTTTATAAACCAATTTTTTGCAATTCAAAGTAGATCAATATGATATTTAATTACCTATAGCAACAGCAGTTTCATGTGCATCCCCTGTTACCATTTTTACATGAACCCCAGATTGGACTAGCATAGCAATACTTTCCCGAACATAGGGGCGAGGTGGATCACAAATTCCAACAAGTCCTAAGTACACGAGATCTTGAAGTGAAGTGCCCCGAGCAAAAGCTATAACGCGTAAACCTGTGAAATAAAAAGGGTAGAAAATCTGTAATGAATAGGTCCGAACAAAACTTTATTTTTTGAACACTTGCTTAATAGATTTAAAAAAAATCTATAATCTCTAGTCTATAATTCTTTACTCATTCATTCTTCCTAAATTAGGTTTAATTCAATTTTTTAAAATTTATTATAACCATAGAATATGTTTTATGATAGTAAATTATTTTATAATTAGTCATTTCAATTATATATACTTATTAATTGTGCAGTAAGAATTTACCCACGCAAATATATCAAGGATTACTTTAACATTTAAAATTTTGACTATACATTAATAGTGATTGTACAGTTAAATATGTTTAGTTCGAATTTTTAGCTTTTTCCACATTTACATTCTATTATTTTCTTTTAAAACTATGGGTTCAAAAAAAATGGCCATGTCTCTTGAAATAAAGCGTGAAATTATTAAAAGTGGCAAGGATAGCGAGGATGTATGAGCGTAACACATCATAAATGTTTTCTTATTACTTAAGGCCACAAAATAGTACCATTATTATCATCTAAATATAGCTAGATAGCAATTATTATAAATATTACCCTTTCGCCCAATTTCAAATGCCTCGCCGAGTATTTCTTGCTCCTTTTGTTTAGATAATTGAATTATACTTCCTGGAGATGCAAACTTAGTGCATTGTGGTAAAATTTTCTCTAGCGCACCTTTCACAAAAAATAATTCTTGTTTGTTGTCACTGTACTTTTGAACCACTCGAACTGCCATTATTTTTTGTTCTGAACTGGTAAATAATAATATGATTTTATATTAGAGTTGCTTCATTATTTACCATGCCCAATTTGATATTCGATATTTGAAATTCACCTGAAAGGATATTCCTGGATGCGTATATAGCTATCACTGACTGCATACATGCCATTCTTCATTGCGGCAGCTAATATTGCACCCTCTGTGGGTTGTCCCAAAAGCACATCCTCCTTCAGTATAGCATTATTGCAAACACAACCTGCCTGTAATTACAGGTATGCATTAATTATTCCGTTTTATTTAGGGTTATACTTAAAAAAATATCAATAATGTGATGATCTGATATAATATACCTCAAGTAATTCATGAATTGCTTGTCGTCCTTTTTCCATATTATCACATTTACGCAACACAATTTCCCCATTGTCATTATAACCAGCTCCAGTAACATCAGCAATATGGCCATCAGCAGTAAAAATAATAGTCACAGTCATTTCATTCTTCGTTATGGTTCCTGAAAAAAGCAATGTTTCATCAGTAATTCATTCCAATAAAAGTAAATTTATTGAAGTTATATTTACCAGTTTTGTCAGAGCATATAACATTGACACAGCCAAGTGTTTCCACAGTTGGCAACTTTTTCACTATAGCTTTCCTTTTAGCCATTCGCATAACTCCTAAAGCTAAAGTTACAGTTACAACTATAGGTAAACCTACAAGGGTATAAAATGAAAATATACAGTAATATTATATAATTTTTGGCATAAAAAAATTATAGAGGTTCAAGATGCAAACTTTTAAGAATTCAAGATTTTTAAAATATTGCATCTTCACATTATTCAAACCTTCAGGAATAGCAGCTACTGCCAAACTCACGCCGATGGTAAACATTTCAACTATTGGTTTTCCTTGAATCCATCCAAGGAGCATTATTACACCAATAATGCAAAATGAATAGAATGACAACTGAGCGCCCAAACTATCCATGCTTTTTTGAAGAGGTGTTTTTGGAGCTTCTTCAGCTTGCATCATTCTGAAAACTTCTCCAAATTCACTTTTCTCTCCGGTGCTAACTACAATACCCTAAAATAAAAATTAAGATAATAATACATATTAGTGTTTTTAATACATATCAAAATTTTCAATACATTAACGCATACTGATTACTTCATCTAATGTAAAAAAAATTCAAGGTACCAAAGAATTAATTTAAATGTTTTGACTTACTTTTCCATTTCCACAGCGCACAAGAGTACCCATAAAAGCAATATTTTTCATGCTGGTATGACCATTTGTTTTTATGATTGGTTCTGTAACCTTATTTGATGGCTCAGTTTCTCCTAAAAATTAAATATTATCATTTAAATTAGCAAATATATGATTATGTAAATAATTGCTTTAAGCAAAATAATGTTCTATTATGAAAATGATATTTTGTTATATATACCTGTAAAACTTGATTCATCTATGCATAAATCTATTGCATCAAACAACCTGACATCAGCTGGTACTCGATCTCCTACATTGAGATGAATTATATCTCCTGGAACTAATTTACTCGCCAAAAATGTATCTAATCGTCCCTCTCTTAAACTAGAGAAATAAAAATATTACTAAAACATGTCATTCTAATAAATGTAAGATTTCGAAGAATTGTAATGTGCAAATACAATAGGTTGTAACAAATTATAGTAAAACATTATTACCAGTGGCATGTAGGCGGCACAAGTTTTGTTAACTCTTGCAAAGATTTTTCAGATCGATATTCCTGCACAAAGGCAACTGTAACAACAATGATGATGGCAACAGTGATGCTAACAGCATCATCAAATTGTTTCATGCAAATACTGACAAATGCAGACCCTGAAATCAAAATGCACAATGCTTAAGTAATAATATTAAATACTCAATTTTATGATATAATTATATGTAAAAATTCTTATAAAAGCACTCAACAAATTCAGTAATTATAAATTATAATAGTTTAAACATTTATATAGTAGTTAAATTTTTTAACATATTTTAATGTAGTATTAAATAGATTAAATTATACATGTTGAGTGATTTTTTTAATGAGCAAAAGCTTATGAAGTGTAATCAAATAATTTTTGGCAGTATCAATCAATCAAAATTGTTTAGGGTAAAATAAAAAAGTTTTAATTGATTTAAACTGATTAGATTATTGAATCTAAGAATTGAAACCGAGCATTCAAAAATGCTGATAGAATCAGCATATTTTAATTGAGTGAACTTACATTAGCATTTGCATATTTTAATCTACAACAAATTTCATAATTAACATTAGATATATAACGCAATAATACCTAAGAGTAACATGATTAAGGGATTTCTGAATTGTTCTATATACTTCTTCCATGGTGGTTCTTCATCTTTAACAGTGAGTTCATTTAATCCAATTAACTGAGACCTCAGATCAGCTTCACTCCATTGTAGACCATTTCTAACGTCAACCCTCAGTCTAGCAGCTACCTCGGAACAGCTTAATTGGGATGATTCGCTTGTGCTAAGCCACATTTCTGTATTAGGATCCTTTAAAGGAATAATTCACATTAAAAACAAATCCATATCAACTTTTAATTTGTACTTACTGAATCACTTAAGTTCTCAGAAGATAAGTCTTTTTTATTTTTTGAAAATTTATCATACTTTGAAGTCTGATTAATTCTCATTTTTAATAAGACCTGTGGCTAAACTAATCTAATGATTTTTTATCTATACAGGGCACGTCATTGAATAACATTCGAATGTATCAAATTTTATGGAATGTAAGTCTTAATTAGGGTTAGAAATTTAGTAAACTGGCTTCTTCATAGCTAACATGTTAATTGATTTATCGTGACGTGATAAAAACATAATTTTTTGACAATGGCTTATTTACGTTGACGTTTCGCCGAATGGTGCTAAGTGAGCAAATGATCACGCATTGCTTCTACTTCACTTTTTTGTAGGGAGTTTTGATTTTACACTACGTCATAAGGTTTTTAGTATGTTGTTACGACTGGTTACGATTTTCAGATCAATAAACAACAATAAACATAGTAAAAATTTACTATTTTTAAAAACAATTCTTATTTAACATCGAAAAGCAATTTGGCCATTAATCAATGAACCATTGATGAATGATATGTGAAAAATTTAAATTTCAATTTAGTGTTAATTTAATTACCTAGAACTACACCACTACAAACCAAAACTTTTATCTTTTGTTTGGACCTGTCAATAGTAATCTATCACAAGAATTATTACAATATGTAGATTTAATAAACTTGAATATAATAATTAGAATAACAATACCAGGTTTTTATGAAAATAAGCATTATTACACATTTTACTGTAGATTGTATTGTTAACATGTGCAATATTTTGAAAATATGCCCTGAGGTCTCAGAACTTTGTAGTGTCATTACAGAATTGAAATGTACTGAAAAAGATTGCAATGCTATATTAAAATCATCATCCAACTTAAAAATGCATTATGTGAAGCATCATCTGAAATCAACACTCCCTAAGCAAAACCTTCCAGAAGGGACAATTATGCATTATTATTGTCCAGAAAAGTCTTGCATCTACAATGTATCAGCAACTAAGCATTTCACTCATAAACGCTTCTTAAAACAGCATTACTTGAAGGTTCATGCTGAAAAATTATTTAAATGTACTACTTGTACAAAAGCATTTGCAACACATTCACAGCAAATTAGTCATGCCAAGGTTTGTGGAAAGATATTCAAATGTACAGATTGCGATTGGAAATATAGTTCAAATGAGGCATTATTAACTCATTACCGAAGAAAGCATCACAGTAAATCTGCAGTAAATTCAAATGAAGTTATTACTGCAGACAATGTAACTAAGCCTGTTACAAATAACATAATAATATTGAATATAATACCTCCTTCACATTTGCATCTAAAAGATAAAGAAATACAAACAGAATTAATAGATGATTTGAAAACAACGAATTCAAAAATAAGAAAAAGAAACACCCAACATACACAGACTTCCTCATATAAAAGAAAGAAGATTCGAAATAATGTTGAAACTCAAACAGTTAAAAATACAATATTAGAAAAGGCTATGTATAATGCAAATCTTTATGTTGTTAAATCCAATGTCCAAACACAGAGCGAACATGAGTTAGATGTAAATAATGAAAGAAATGATAAACCAGAAACTCATAACTCTTTTTCTAATTTAATTCAGGAAAATGATATGGATATAAAGTATTTTGAATTGGATGATAACAAAGAAAGCGAATCCGAAAATGTTTTGAAAGATAACTTACTTTCAGAAACTATAATAAACAATCATTCTCACACTCTATGTAGCATTGAGACTCAGACTGATCAATTTGATTTAACTTTAAATGATAACATGGACTCTTCTTTCACTCAAACTGGAGACCTAACATTTGATCAATTATTATATTCAAATACATACACTCAAACATGTGATGATTTTCTACTTTCTGAACTTGGCTTCAATAATTCTCACACTCAAACCTGTTGGCAAGGTTATGAAGATTCAGTGTCAACAGAGACTCAAACAAACTTTACAGATCATTTGCTGGGAGACCGTTCTACACAGACAAATAGTGTATTGTCAGACAATTTGTTAGAGCCAGCAGATTACACTCAGACTTTTGTAAATACCAATCACGGATCCTAGCATTCACTTGAGCAAAGTATTCTTGGTTTTGCTTCAGAACATGATCTATCAGAGGTTGATTTATTCTTATTTAAAAGTTGAAATGTTATTAAGTCAAGAAAAGACATATATATATATATAGTAAAAATTTTATATATTTTATCAAAATAAATATTTACTGTTTTACTATTTTGCTAATTTATACATGTAATATTTAAACATAATATTTAAAAATAATGTTTAAAATCATTATGAATAAATTATGGTATTTTTAAAATCAATGTCACTTTTGAATTATTAACTTGAAATTACACATGCATATATTAATTTGTTAAATTGGTTAAATTCCATTTGTTGTCAGTCTCAGTGGATCATTTCCGCTTTTAAATGGAAATTACTGTTTTAAGCATTTTGTAACTTTTGCTGTTGATATCAATCCCATAAATTTTCACAACAATACATTAATAGGAAAATTTCTATATATACATACATATAGAAAATAATACATAAAACATATATACAATTCAATACATACATAAAAAAAATTAATTGGTGTATAATGAATTGATTTATATAGCATATACAAAAATGTATAAAGAAGAAAATGAACCCCTCTATAAAAAATCAGAATGAGCTTGTCTCACAGGGGATACCGCCGAGCTCTACTATATTTATATTGTTTATACATGTATATAAAATGTAGCATATAAAACTAGTAATTATTTATTTTAATACCAAAGACAATTTGAATGATCAAATTTATTCACTACACATTATAGTGCAGGACCGGCATCTTCATCTTCATTTTCGCAAAAATTGTCATCAGAAGGTTCAAATATTCGGTTAGAGCTTTCTAAAGAACTAGCAAGAGTCCTTAAATTATCAACACCCGTTAATAGTTGCCTATAAAAAGAAATAGACGAATATTTAGAAATGAAGTAAATAGTTGTTTTTAATTGCTTATAAAATAGTAACTAAAATATGCTTATTACTAATTTTTATTTGAAGTGGAAATGTAACTATTAAAGATGTTCTAAAGAATTTAATTAATTTACCTCAGTGATGACTCTGCAGTACTAGCTGCAGTTCGCAACTCATTTGATAATCTCATCATGCTATTGGAATCATTTGCAGCTGGACCATAGCGCAGTGATGTATTTTCATTTCGAAGAACCATCATCTCTGACTAATATTGAAATAGCTGTTATTGCAATATCAAAATTAAAATTAAAGTAACGTTAGAAAATAATCACCGTCATTTGTGAAATCTGTTTCTTAAGCTTTGCAACTGTACTTTCAGCATCTATTGCCCTTTTCTTAAAAACAAATTGATTTTATTTTTTATATTACATTACTACATTAATGTGATGTTAAGATAACTCACATTGCTCCGTGCCATATTTTTTTCAACTGTTTCCAAAGCTGTCGCTAATTTTGTTGTATATTGTCCTTCATTTTTTTGGCTAATACTTAACTCAGATTGTAAACGAGATATTTGGCCGGACTGTTCTGAAATCTGTCTTCTACAGTGATCTAACTCTCTTCGCAACCTAAATATAAATAAATTTAAACATAAATATGCTAAATATAAATATATATAAGACATGTCCATACATACAATTTACTATTATAAAACTAATAAATGTTTTTTTTAATATATTTAAAATTATGCTATGTCACATTATACATTTGTATAAATGTAATTGCACATTTCCAAGCAATTTTTTTATGTTTTATTCGATCATACAGAAAATAACTATCAAGAACTTATCCAGGCTTATTACCTACCAACTATAAAACATTTCTGAAATTAAGTTTAGATGAAACTTATAATATTAGAATTTCATACTTATTTTAACTCACCTATTATTTTCCAATGATAATCTACTAATAGTTTCACTAATATCCTCACTATCGCTTTCTTCCATGCCCCCTGCTTGTCCTTTTGGTGATGTTTGAACCAAATCAGCAAGTCTATCTGAGTGTATTGCTCCATCTGACAAGAAATCAGGAAGTATGTGAGGAACTTCTTGCATCCCATTATAATCCTGGTGCATAATCACATCCTTGACATTTCCTGTTAAATCTAAGGATATAGCTGCTGGCAAATCTAATGGATTAGCTGCATTTATCGGTGGACTATCATTTATTGGTAAATCTAAAGGTGCTCTTAATGGCCCTCTATTTTCTTCTTTATTAATTGTTGAGGTCACATCTTTAGGTTTCTTTAAATTCTTTTTATTATAATCTTTGTCAAATGGAGAAAATACTGATTTTATCTCTCTTTCCACATTTTCTGTAGATAAAGGATTATCAAAACCAGAATACCATTGCTCAAGGATTATATGATCTTGAACAAAGTCAGGCAATGCGGATGAGAACTCACTTGAAGCAATCCTTGCTCCTGAGTGATTAGCTTTAACAGAATCGTGTGGTGAATATTCTACTGGCATATAATTTGTATCACGGTCAGAATATGATCTGAATAAATTCTTCAAATGATTATCAACATTGGATAGTGCAATATTTTCAACTGAATTTGTTTTTCCAAGAGCTTTAAAATATTGTGGGCAACAATGCTCACAACGTTTTTGATAAGCCGCGTGATTGCATTTCTCTGTTTTTAAAACATCAGTGGCTAATCCTGTGTTTGTAAAAATTTTAGGTTTTGCACCTGTGTGACTTGCAGGGCCAATAGAATAGGTGCTAGCAGAGGATGTACTTGCGCAGTTACTAGCAGATGGAGTTTCACGTTTCAAGAAATGTTTGAATGAAAATGGGTTTTCCTCACGTCGCTGATTTTCAAATGGGCCTGGACAAAACAAATTAAATGAAGACTATGTTTTATAAATAAACTAATAAGATTGAGTCAATTGGTACTCAGAAATATAATATGCAATAGAACTAAGTATGTACACAGGGTTACATTGTAAGGCATTATCCTGTAAAGCATAGTAAAAAGAATTTATAACATTTCCTACCTACATATAGTCACATTTGGCTAACATTTTAAAGAGAATTCAAAAAATTTTCAAGAATTCAAACCTGTTGTATTGAGCACAGCCTTTTCAGTTTCATTATCATTTTTGTTTGTGTCTAGTGAAGTAGCTGATGTAGAAGCAAGATGTTGCTCAACATCTGAGATTGATAATTGATCATCATCTGAGAGAGCCTTGTCGTTCTTGTTAATTGTGTGATCGGCCCTTTCTGCCATAATCATTCTTGACAGAAATCGTCACATTTAATATCAACGCTATATGCGTTCGACACAGGATTTACGTCCCATATTACATTAAAATTTATAATTATTGATTTAAAACCTACCATAAAACATAACAATAAGTAAACACAATTTAATTAAAATGGGTACTACATCATTCAAAAATCAAATGTTCAATGGACATTTGCAAGACATGTCAAACATGCATTGTGCAAATGCATATAGTGAGATAGTTCGAAGCATATTTACTCAAAATGTTTGGGGCGGTTACAATTTCGTTATGAAATATTACAAAGTGCTTTTATTACGAACATAAACGTTGGTTTATGGTTTTAAGGCTCATAAATAAAATGATTCATTAAGGCTAAACATGTGTATGCATTTTTTTTCAAACACTATTAATAATAATGTAATTGAAAATTATGACATTATTTCAAAACTCGACTTCAATAGCTTGAATACTCCCACAAAAATATAATAAAAAAATCCAATATATAATACAAATAAAACAAAGTTTTTATACTTTTTCATAAAAACATCATGAAATATTATATGGCAGTATAAATATGAAATATGAGTAAATCGATTACCAGTGCACATACATATCTTATGCCGCGTCTCCACTGTTACGAATCCGTGCGGCGAATGGTGCGTCACGAACAAATTTGCGCAGCGGAGTGATACTGTGCGAACGCACGAATTTCCTTCAAATTTGTCCACTGCGCATGTCCATAGCGAACTTTTTTCTTCTTTTTTGTTTGAAAATGGGAGGGGGGGTTTATTTTTAGAATTACGTACCCTGCCGAACATGGTCGAAGCGACACGAAAATTTCAATAGCCTGCGTTCGCGGCGCTCGCTCCCGCCGCGAGCAACCCGACGCATCGGGCTGCCGAGAATACCCGAACCGACACTAATGGATTAGCGTCAAAGCGCGGATCAAAAATGTAAACTAGTGGGGTGTATGGCATTGTGCCTTAAGGCAAATTGCTGGAACTTTCCGGATCGTAACGAAATGTTCGAGGAATACTGAATGTTTTCAAATAGATTATTATAAATATTGTAACATTGTCTAATATTTATAAGAATTATATAAACTGAATTGCAACGTTGAAATTATTTGTTTCAACAAAAAACTAAAAAAAAAAAAAAAAAAATCGAACAAATTTTTTTTTTCCAAAATCAATTATTTTGTTAAGACAAGCAGAAAGTTTTTTGAATCATTCAAATCGGACGCTTAGTTCTCTCAATAACTGCCATTTTTTACATATTTAGCTCCGTATCTTCGAAATGGCTGGGCCTACCTTTGCCAAAAACTAATAAACACTTCTCCCAATCATTACTAATTGAATGTTTTTTAGATCATTCAAATCGGATACTCCGTTCTCTCAAAAATTCGATTTCTATTTTCCGCACTCTTTGCTCCGTATCTCCGAAACGGCTGGACCTGCCTTTGCCAAAAACTAATCAGCTCTTTTCCCTATCAATAGGAATCGAATGTTTTTTGAACCATTCAAATCGGTTGATCCGTGCGCCCTAAAACGTGACTGGAAATTTGTATCCACACATACATACACACACACACACACACACACATACACACACACACATCCATTTTTTCTGAGGTATGCCAAAATGTTCAGAAACCTTCAAAACGTCGAGAAATGTACAAATTTTCAATTCCGATTTTCGGCCCATTACAATAACTTACCCTACGGGAAGTTAATAAGTAAGCAGTCATTAAAATTGATGTACTAATTATAATTTTATCTAACTATTAGTATAGGAAATACATCGGTAATTAAGTTATAGATATGTTGAAATATATGTATATCCAACTAAAATATATTTTGGTAGACTTTATTTATCATATTTCAGAGTTAATTTTATATCATCATGATATTATCATGTATATTATATATATATATATATATATATATATATATATATATATATATATATATACTCTTACTACTTATATGACGTATCATATATTTATTATTCAAAATAAATTAAATGTTTCAAAAAAAAAAAAAAAAATGGTAATTTTGTATTATTTGCAATTACGCTAAATATCATTTAAAATCTTATTAATATGCAGACTGAATTTTTGCTCAAAGTCTTTTCTGACAAGTATTTATATTTAGAACAGAAGTAATAATTTTTATTCAAAACTGATAATTGTTGGTCAGCCTGCCTCTGTAGCCGTATACGTTATTTCTTTGAACTTGTACGTAAACATTGATCTGTGCTACGGTATAAGTTCAATTGTACAGTGAAGGCATTGAGATATTTCATCTTATCCTCAATTTTGAAAATGGATATGCGTAGAGAAGATGTTATACTTCTTTACACTTCTTATAATTGAACTGTATCAAGAAAAAAAATATTATGAAATCCTAAAAATTTCAAATGTATCAAATTGCTCGCAGTGTGCGTCGCGCACAAGAGCCAACGCATGCGTGCGTCGCGAACAGGATTCGCCGCACGGATTCGTGCAGTGGGGACGCAGCATTAGACAGTTCTGTTAATGTTCATTATTTTCATGTTACCTAATCTTACAAATGAAGATATTAACCTTTTTGAATTTTTCAAGTTTTCAATTTGTTAAAGTAGTGTTTATAATTAATTAATAATCTAATTCTTAATACTTACTGCAATGGCCAGCTGCATTCTGAAAAAAAATCGGATTTTAACGTTTTCGCTTCAACTTTTGAGTGCACGATGTTATAAACCGGCTACTACAGTAGCCAGATTTAACCTCAATCTTAGTGGTAATCTTGATGGAAATTCACTTCAATTACGGTTTCTTAAATATATTGGCATCAGCAACGCAAAAGATTTAAATACGGAGAAGGCTAAAATAAGATATTCAGATTTCTTTCCTATATCAGACCCGAAAGTTTTAAAACAGAACATATCTGAAGTTGAAGTATCTGATGTACCTACACTATTAAATTACTTGTATACCTATAATACAAGAGCACCCCCAAACAATGTATTATCTTGTATTAATCTCATAGAAAGAGAAACATGTGCCAAAATTGATATCATGGCTCCTAAGGAAATTTTTAATATATTATTCGCTTATATGTATGTTATTCCGGCTTACACAACTCAACTGAAATTTTATGACCAAGCAATGAGAAGAATTAGTAATCAGCTCGATGATCTAAGTAAAGAGCATCTGGTGCAATACAGTTTTTATCTAGGCCTATCAAAACACAATAACCCTGAATACACGAATGTTATGAGGAACATTCTTCTCATTTTGTCAGACAAATATTTAAATAGCTTAACGCAGGAAGAGCTTTGTATAGTTACCAATGCTGCTTTTAAAATGAGTGTTAAAATCAATACAATAGATTTATTAAATCATATAAGCGAAAACTTAATAGAAGGTTTAACACATAAGAAAATAGATGTTCCTTCTTTAATTACATTATTGAAATCTTTAAGAATATCGCGATATTTCAATAATGACTTACTTGAAATGATATCAAAATATGTAAACACTGAAATAAAAGATTTAAATGCAACTGCCATTTCGCATATATTGCCTTATTATGCAGATAATTACTATATGGATGAGCATTGTATTACACTTCTAGTGTCTCAATTTTTAGAAAAATTAACTGATGGTAAATCAGAAACACATATGTTTGAATCAAATAACATACGAGGAAAAGATCTAAGCAGGTTCTTATGGGCTTTGAGTTATCTGGGTTGGACTATGAATCCAAAAACTCTTGAAAATTTGGAGAATATTATACTAAATAAATTTAATTCTGGAGATTATAAAAATAATATAGATGAACTGTTCAATAACGCACTTTCATTCTGTATTTTGAATTATATTCCAAGGAGATTATTGCGAATTATTTTAGAAAGCAAATTTATTAAAACAAAATCCAATACAAGTCGATCAGAGGAAAGGAAACATTTATTATTCTCTATATTGAAAATTGGAAAATGAAGAAATTTTTTGAAACTACTAGATTACAAGCTTACTGGAGTAGCTTCGAAAATAAACATACTTTTTTTTATATTTTCAATTATTTTCATAATTTTATTTGTCTAATGTTTGTTCATAGAATAGGAAGTTCCATCAATTAACAGATTAAAATTGTTATATACATTATTATTATTTTTTTATCTACTTGAAATAACATTTTTCATACAAATATGTCAAGAATTATAAATATCGCGCTATACCATAATAATAAAAAAAAATATAAAAGATAGAAATGCTTCAAAGCCTTCCAATTATATTAAAATTGAATTTGCATGTCAATATGCACCATAATGGTAGTAAATATCACTTATAAAGAGCTTAAAAACTATATTACAACCTATTACTTAAAAACCGCATTCCTGGGTATCCAGGTCCACCAGGCGGCCGGCGCATACGTCGTCCACGGGGATTTCCTCGCATAAACGATCCTCGCTGTGGTTCCTGCATGCCCCTAACAGAAATTGGTTGCCCCATTTGTCTCGTCATCGGTGGTGTTTGTTGTTGAGGATTTTGTTGCTGTGGCTGTTGCATTGGAGGTGGTTGTTGTAGTATCTGTTGCTGTTGCTGCTGCTGTTGCTGTTGTCCTGCACAAATAGTTAAATATAAATTTTAATATAAAAAACTCAAAATTAACAATTATCAAATATAGTTTAAATAATATAAGTAGAAAAATTCATTGTTATTACTTATTGCAAGTGTAAAATAATGAACTTATTACAAGTGTGAAATAATGTGCAATACTATGAACAATAAGGATTATTTTATAATTGCATATTATTGATTTAGTATCTTTGATTGATTTATTACAATCTACCTTTTTAATATCTGTTGTTTTTAAAATTCTATGACACCATAAATGAATTTAAAATCTATATGCATTATTTTATTTACTTGGACCATGAGCCTCATTCCAAATGATTGGAGTGTGCCTTTGTTGTCGAGAACTGGAACCACGAGAAAAACCTCTCATAGAGCGGCGTGCTGAACCGCGACCTCGAAATCGTACATTTGAACTTGAGCTTTGAGATGCTTCGGCTTCACGACCTTCTTCTTCCATCTGCAATGATAATTTATACATTTCTATCTTAGACTCCAAATAGTAAATACATAGTTTAGACAACTTGTTAAGTTAAAAAATATATATTTTACCACTGTGCACATACTCATACCATGGATTAATAATGTTTTCATATGTTATATTACGATACAAATTTTATATAGTCTAGAAAAAATGGCATGCGGGCGCTGAAGACTCCAGGAGCGTCCCTGGTAATAATGTATATTGAATTATTACTAAGAAAATGTAATTTAGATATTATAATTACTACAAATAGTTAAAATATGGTACAAGATTATAAAATTATAGGCAACATTATTGTAGCAATAATTTGGGGGGAAAATCCACGGTGATATTGTACTTTTACCGCGGACTATATATTAATTTTTTCTGAATTTGTTATATCTGTTTAAAAGACATTTTTAATTTCCAATATAGTTGTGGGAATTGAAACTCATCATTTTATTTAAAGCAGTTCTACATTTAGCATCGCTCATATTGACGTATATGCATTTTGGTGTGAAGAGTAATTTAAAAAACAATAATTATTATTTTTATGTAAATGTTAAATATTAGTATAGGGGCCGTTCAAGTATTACGTAAGCACTATAGGGGGTCGGGGGGGTTATTGATTTGTTTATTTTTGTGACATTTTGGTGACAGATTTGCTTACTTTTGCTGACAAAGGGGAAGGGGGGGGGTAAATAATTGTACTAAATCTGCTGACGTAATTAAGCATATCTGCTTACGTAATTAAAAAATTATAGGCGTGGTTACAGGACAACGTCAGTCGGGTCATCTAGTATATATATATATATATATTATATATATATATATATATATATATATATATATATATATATATATATATATATATATATGTATATATTGTATGATTCTGAATTTGATGTTGACATATGTATTAACAGTTATATTATAGCCGAAACGTATGGATTTAAATAAATTTTTGAAAGAAATTCATGTTTTTTATTGATGTTATGCCCGATTATTAGACTTTGTTATATATAATATATATAATAATATATATATATATATATATAATTTCAAAGTAACTGGCAGCCCATTCGTCGAAATAAAAAAGGTATAAAGTATAAAAACTTTTATTTATACGTTTCGAACAAGATGCGTGTCATCATTCAGCAACACAGGACAAAAACACTCAACAAAAATTTATTTTAAAAAATTAAACTTAATAACATATTAGAAAAACATTTTTTAGAAAAAAATTATGTATAACTAAAAGATTTGAAAACTAATTTTACTAAAAGTTATGAAATACATCATTGTGAAGCTAGAAGCACGCCCATACCGAGCATCTAGACTCGACTGGAAGTTTTTATACTTTATACCTTTTTTATTTCGACGAATGGGCTGCCAGTTACTTTGAAATATGTTTCAACGTCGAAAAAACTATCAAGATATATATATATATATATATACACATATATTTATTTATATGTATGATTTACTTCTATATTATCTGTCGCCGTTGCTTGCTGTTCGCCTTCTGATGAAACAGGGTCTGCTTCAACTTCCTTCATTTCGCCATCCAAAAATCATCTTCAACCATTGCAATCCTCAGATGAGTCGTCACTAATTTAATTTCAGGTACATTATCTATAAATATTAATTAAAGTTTATATTATTTATTACAAGAAAATTCTCATTTCCCATTTAAAAAAAAATGAAGTACCTTTTCTTGGTTCACTGGGTCCAGGTTGAATATCAGGAACCTCCAAGAATCATCTGTATTTTGTGCCCGTGGACAAACTTGAAGAGTAGCACTTGGTACACTTTGACCTGCAGAAGAAAAATTTGTATAGTATACTTAGTCATTGCTCCATACTGTGATGACAAATGAAGAAGTAGCTTCTAGGTACCTGCTTCATGAAATTGGGAGAGATCACATCTAGTATCATCAACACTTCTAAACCACTTTGTGAGAGAGGAGCGCCTGGAACTTGTCTGACACTAGCAGTATCACTGAATGTAAATCGCGCACTTGGTACATGGGGATGAGGCGAACTTACTGCTTCTCCAAATCTTAATGCAAGCAAAGAAAATGAAACTTTATATTAAATTCAAAAATTAAAATGAATTAACAACAAAAACTTAATTAACAGATAGTTTTTCCACACATAAAGATCAAATTTCATAAACAAAAAATTGATTGTACTATGGAACCAGTAATCATTCTTAATTATCAATTTTACTAATATTTGATTGCCTTTGTTAACCCAAATAATATATATTTAAACATATTTTAAGGTCCTACAGTAAGTAGCATCCTGCCTTAAAGCAAGTGGCATGAACTTCTTCATAATGCACTCAATAAGGTTCAGTAATTTAAGTAAAATGTTCAACTGTTATTTCGAAATTTTTCGGTTTCACCAAAAAATAATACGATTTCCAATGATATCTTTAACGTACTTATATATCTGTAATTGTATAAATTAAATAAATTTCTTTAATTTCAAAATAAAAGTTCCAAAAATTTATTTATTTGAAGTATGGACGTAAACTATAATCAGTAGTACCGACGAAACTCGCAATAAACATTACAGGGCGGCATAGATTATGATTAGTGAATTTCTACATTTCAATCGCTCATATCGTATTTCTATGATATTTTAGCATATTATTTCACTACGAAAATATCGTCATACAAATTTTTCATATAATTTTTTTTTCAATACTTAATTGCGATGAAACGATTCTGCAGATCTTTACAAAAACTAACCATTTAACATAACGAATGTAATTCAATCAGTTTTGCTGTTTTCTATAGTTTCTGGGCTAAAACGTAGACGAAAATTTCACATCTAGTATCATCAACAGCTTCTAAACCACTTTGTGAGAGAGGAGCGCCTGGAACTTGTCTGACACTAGCAGTATCACTGAATGTAAATCGCGCACTTGGTACATGGGGATGAGGCGAACTTACTGCTTCTCCAAATCTTAATGCAAGCAAAGAAAAATGAAACTTTATATTAAATTTACAAATAAAATAAAATTAATTAACAACAAAAACTTAATTAACAGATAGTTTTCCACACATAAAGATCAAATTTCATAAACAAAAAAAATTGATTGTACTATGGAACCAGTAATCATTCTTAAAATTATCAATTTTACTAAATATTTGATTGCCTTTGTTAACCCTCTAATATTTAAACATATTTTAAGGTCCTACAGTAAGTAGCATCCTGCCTTAAAGCAAGTGGCATGAACTTCTTCATAATGCACTCAATAAGGTTCAGTAATTTAAGTAAAATGTTCAACTGTTATTTCGAAATTTTTCGGTTTCACAAAAAAAAAAATATATTTCCAATTGATATCTTTAAACGTACTTATAATATCTGTAATTGTATAAATTAAATAAATTTCTTTAATTTCAAAATAAAAGTTCCAAAAATTTATTTATTTGAAGTATGGACGTAAACTATAATCAGTAGTACCGACGAAACTCGCAATAAACATTACAGGGCGGCATAGATTATGATTAGTGAATTTCTACATTTCAATCGCTCATATCGTATTTCTATGATATTTTAGCATATTATTTCAAACTACGAAAATATCGTCATACAAATTTTTCATATAATTTTTTTTTTCAATACTTAATTGCGATGAAACGATTCTGCAGATCTTTACAAAAACTAACCATTTAACATAACGAATGTAATTCAATCAGTTTTGCTGTTTCTATAGTTTCTGGGCTAAAACGTAGACGAAAATTTGACAACTTTCTGCTAATTACAAAGAAACGGTACTTCTTATGGAGTTACATCGAATGGCTTTTATTAACTTCCCATAGGGTAAGTAATTATAATCGTCCAAAAATCAAAATTGAATTTTTTTACATTTCTTCACGTTTTGAAGGTTTCTGAACATTTTGACATACCTTAAAAAAAAATGGTTTCGTCCACGTTTTAGGGCGCACGGATCAACCGATTTGAATGGTTCAAAAACATTCTATTCCTATTGATAGGGACATGTGCTGATTAGTTTTTGGTAAACAGGTCCAGCCGTTTCGGAGATACGGAGCAGAGTGCAGAAAATGGAAATCGAGTTTTTGAGAGAACGGAGCATCCAATTTGAATGGTCCAAAAAACGTTCAATTTGTAATGTCGAGGAGAAACGGTGATTAGTTTTTGCAAAGGCAGGTCCAGCCGTTTCGGAGATACCGAGCTAAAGGTGCAAAAGATTTTGAGAAAGTTACAGTATTTATAATTTGAAAACATTTAATATTCCTGGAAAATTTCGTTACGGTACGGAAAGTTCCAGCAATTTGCCTTAAGGCACGATGCTATACACAATAGTTAAATTTCTCAAATCGGTCCAGCCATTTTTGGGAAACCGTAGATGACAAACAAAATTCGGCACATGCACTCACACACACATACTTTTTCCAAATTTGGATTCATTCGATTCAAAATGATTTCAAACGACGAGAAAACATAAAATTAAATAATCGGATTTTTTCGCGAGAACAAACTAATATCTATTTGTTTAATCTCAATTTTACCGTCCAATAATGACGTCATAAGTCTAATGTTAATTGTTTATATCTGAATTTTCAGAAAATAATGTCCATATGTGAATACATAGAAATAGAAATAATCATGAATTATCAAAAATAAATCACAACTACGGATTTGAATTGTAAATTTAATACTATTAAATTACAATTTCATATGTTCAACAATTGAAAGATGTTTCATAAACATCATATTGATACAATATAATTATTTAACAATAAATATCTTACCCATCATTTCTTCTAGGTACATATAAGGTAGGTGTGCTTGGGACTATACCGTCATCACCAGACTCTTCATACCCTGGTGTTAAATGATGTGTGTGGTGTGGCAAAATTAAAGCTTGTGCTTGACCAGAGCGTACCAACGGCGCAACACAACGGGATCTAGATTGTGTTGATTGCCCTGAAAAACATAAATTTGAAAAAATTTGTTTGTGGTTTAAAAATTACCACAAAATACCTTCTGAACCACTACTAATAGTCTGTATTTGTTGAGATGTATTTGAAGGAGCACTGTTTGATTCTGTAATACCACTAGTACTGTTAGAACCTTCTGACTGGTTTGGACCTTCATTGCTATCATCAATTATTTCAACTTCGTTATTGTCAACCATGTTGTCAGTATCATGTTCATTATCTTCATCACCCTCATCATATGCAAGGTCTTGTTCCTATAAATAACAGGGGTTGCATTGATAAAATATAATTTCAGTGATTTTACACAAAAATAAAAAAAAAATACTTGTTCATAGATTTCATTCTCATATTCCTCTCCATTGTTCTCATAAGGGCCATCATCCGGTTCCTGAAGGCCATCATCCTCAGAAGCTTCAGAATCCACTATTAAATTATCATCTTCTTGATCTCGCTGAGAACTCGTTGGAACCTATTAAATATTTTTCAATACATCGGCACTTTAAATTATTTGTTTGCTATAAAAACAACTTAAAAATACAAACAAAGGCTGATTGACAACTTAAGTTCATGTTAGCTTAAAATGTCTTGAATTAGAATGAAGTTATAACATTTCATTAAATTAATCTATTTACCTGATATTCGATTTCTGAATCTAAACCTGATTTGCTTATAGAACCATCTACTGTAGAAGCTTGAACAACATGTTGTTGCCTAGCGCGCTTCCGCTGTTGATCTTGCAAACCCTCTGTATCAGTTGTACCTTCCGTGGGATCACGTGGTCTCTTGTGACTGGTGGAACTTCCAGCAGAGCCAATACCAGCGGCTACAGTTGTAGTGACATTGCTTGAACTTGACGCTTGTTGTTGGGAGACCTTTGTAATAAATAATGTATAAATTTAGTAAATTGAAAATGAAATAGTTTTGATGTGATAATTAATGTTTCTAATATTTATTACTATATTTTCCTGTAATAATGCTTACCATGATATTAGAAACATGGGGCATGACCTCACTACTATGAGATGGAGCCGATGAAACATGTGGTGTACTATGAGATGATTGAGGATTGGACACAATCTCTACTCGGGGTTGAACTAAGGCTACAGATTGTGTCAATCCCTGAGAACTTTGCTGACTTGCCTCTATATCCTAAAAACCAAATAAAAAAATAAAACTGTTATTATTTTATATACAAGATCCATAAGGTTTAATAACTAATTATTAATTAGACATTAATAATTAAAACAATAATAGATGTAAGTTTTTTTTGCAATATAATATTTTTGTTAAATGGACTAAGTTAATGTTTTATATTATTCATGACAATGATTATAGAGATAAATGTTACTCATTAATATAAAAAAATATTGATAAAAACATGTTAATATAATCTATTTGAAAGAATTGCACAAACTTAACCCCATAACTGTTATTACTGTTATAAACTATAATTAATTTTGTAATCATAATCATTTTCAAGAAAACTAAACATCATGCAAGATCAAAGTTGCTTAAAATTTAATTGTTACCCAGTGAATGTAAAATGTGTCAGATGATTTCAAGTGGTAAAGAGTGCACATATGAGATGAGTGATTGTGAGTTACCGAAGAAATCAGGGAGCCATTCAGAAGCACCGGTCTGACCTGGGTGCTCTCAGCTGAAGTTCCTGCCATCTCCTGCTGTTGCATTGGTTGCTGCAGTTGTAATGGTTGTTGCTGCTGCATAACAATGTTGCCACTGCTACTACTTCCACTCGCGCTGCTTGTGTTTTGATTATTACTAGTTGAAGAAGACATTGGAGGTACTGCTACTTGACGAACTGGTCCTCCACTGGCACTCGTGGTGGCTGATGTACCACTAACACTTCCACTTGTGCAATTACCTCCAGATGCCATAGGTGCGGAGCTGGTTGCTGGCATATAGTCCATGTGGGAGCTAGTGGGAGATGTTGACATCGCCTCACCTGATGTTGAATTACCTAACAATGCTTATGAAAAGAATTTATTACTATCAAGACATTTGTGCATAAATTCAAGAATGCAACCAATTTAATTATGAAATTAATTCTGAATTACCTGTTGTATGAACTTGTTGTTGTGGTGGAACTAAGACACTCTGACTAGTTGAGCCAGAAACACTTTGACTTGTAGGAAGAACAGCTGCAGTGCGCGGAACAGATATGGGCCTAATACTAGCAAAAGGTGTGTCATTATTTCTCCAAGGTTGCACAGTGGCTGAAGACTGCCCACTGGAATGTCCGGCCATTGGCTTTATATTAGCAGTTGGAGGAGTGATGGTTTCATTCCCACTTTTCTCAGCAATACTTGCACTTGTAGTTGGCTTTGATCCCTGCTGCAAGCCCAGTTGTCGTTGTAATTGATGATTACGCTGAGTTAAGCTTTCAACTTGTTGATTCAGTCGTAGAACATCTTGTTTTTCATTAGCCAGATCATTGCGTTCTTTTTCGAGCCTAGCAATTCTTTGCTCATATTGCGAGAGGCGAACATCACTTTCGCCTTTACTTTGTTCGACGGATTCCAATCGACTACGAGTATCCGCTAAATCGCGATCAAGCGCATTTCGAGCTTCGCTCAAAGACAAAATCTTAGTTCGAGCACTTTTAATAAGATTTTTGTGTTTTTCTTCCTTATCGGCACATATGGTCTTAAGTTCCTCATTTTCTTTCTTCAGAGATTCTATTTCTGCCCGCAGGTTTGTCGTCTCAACAGCGGCTTCTGTAGTTTTTCTGTTCTGTTCGGCTTCTATCTCGGCAATCTTTTCCATAAGTGGTTTTCTGGCTTCTTCTTTAGCGGTTTCCAAATTCTCTTGATTTACAGCAGCACTTGCAGACCCAGATTCTGCAATCTTCTTTTTCTCTTCTTCACACGTTTTAGTTAATTCTAAATATTGATCTTTATAGCGCTTAGCAATTTTTCTAATCTGTCCTTCTTTATTACGAATATCCGCCAAAGATGCTTCTTTCAAAGCCAAATCTTCATTCATTTTCTTGTTTTCTTCAGCTTTCTTAATAAGTGCCTCTTTCGTTTCATTTAGTTCTTGTGTAAGTTTTGTAATATTAACTTTCAGTGCACCAACTTCTTCTGCATACCTCTTACACTCTAATTCATGGTTTTGATGTTGCTTGGTTAAAGCTGATATATTTGCCTCCATTCTCAACTTTTCAGCTTTAAGAAGACCAAGTTCGTCTGCAGTTTTTTTATGACTTTCTTTTTCATTAGTTAACATCTTAACAAGACCTTCCCTTTCATTTTGTAGCCTTTTCCATTCCTCAGGATTTGTCTTGTTAGTTTTTTCTATAAGTTGATTTGCCCGATTTTTCCAGCGTGTTATTTCTCCCTTCAATGCAACATTCTCATTAGTCACTGAATCAATTTTAGCTTGCAAAGATCTATTAGTTTCTTGAAGAGGAATTAACTGCTCTTCTAATTTTTCTATACGTTGCACTTGATCCTGGACACTCTTCTTTAGAGAATCTCGTTCCTCTCTTAAAACTCTATTGCTGTCTGTGATTGCATTAAGAGTCTCCACACTTCTTAAAACTTCAGCATGTTTTTCTGTAGTACTTTGAATTACATCTGTTTTATTTCTTTCATTTTCTAAAGTTTTCTTAACTTCCTCCAAATGTTTAATTGTTATGTCATGCTCAGTTTTCAAACGAATATTCTCATCTTGTAAAATATCTACCTTAGCATTAGCAATTCCTTTTTCTTTTCGTAAGAACTGAATGACTTGCAACAATTGATCAGAAGATTTAGCATAGTCCTCCTCAGTTAGTGAACGATTAAGCAGAGAATTATCACAAACGTTGTTTTTCGAAGAATCAAGAGTATTTGCATGTGATAATGCTAACTGGGTACTTAGTACTTGAATCTGTTCGTGCAATACCTCATTTTGAGAAGTCACATCATGAACCTTATTTGTAAGCTCTTTCATTGATTCTTCCCATTTTTTTTCTCGTTCCCTGAGACTTACTTCACCAACTTCAAGAGCTTGCTCTGCTCGAACTTTCTCTGACTGTAAATCTTTAGAGTTTTCTTTCAACTTATTAAGTTCTTCCCTAAGAGTATTTAATGACTGTATATCATTGGAATGCAAAACCAATTCATGGCCATACTTATCCTCTGCTATTTGTAATGACTCTGATAATTTCTTTATTTGCTCATGTGTTTCCTTTAATTCCTTTTTACAAGACTCTAATTCAACTTTAATTTGATTAAAAGACTCCTTATTAAAATCATTTTGATTATTTGTTTGAGGTATTTGATTGGCCTTTGAAGCTATTTCTGATTCTAATTCTTGAATTTTTTTACGCAGATCAACTTCAATTTTATTTGCTTGAGACAAAGCAGCTTCCTTAGTAGCTACATATTGTGCATGCTTGTTATAAAGATCTTTTAATTCTTTTTCTGCACTTTCTGATATATCTGTATATTGTTTGATTTGCTCTTGAGCACTTTCTAATTGAGTTTTAAGAGCTACTATTTCATTACGACTTTGGTTAATTTGGTTCTCCAATTCACGTGCCTTCTTGACATCAACAGTTTCATCATCTTTAGACATAAGAGACTTTTGAACTCTATTAGTTAATTCTGTTACTTGATTAGTTTTAATTGCAAGTTCACTTTTAATGCTAGTAAGTTCTTCACGTAGTTTCACTGATTGCCCTTGTGCCTCTTCAGCTCTTTGTTTGGCGGTCTCAGTTTGTCGTTCCAAGTGTGAGGAGAGTTCTCGGAATCTATCTTGTTCTTCCTGCAAACGTCTTCTTAAAGCAGAACATTCTCTCGTAGCATCATCTAAACGATTCTCTAATCTCATCCTGCCTTCTGATTCTGATCTATCAAAACTGGCTTTTATCATTTCCAAATTGTTCAGAAGCAAAGCTTGACTCTGCTTCTCCCTATGAACAGCTTCTTGTTGTTTCTGCAGACGTATTTCTGATTCTTGAAGCATCTTGTTTTCTCTGCGCAATTGTTCTAGTGTAACTTCTGCTTTAGAGCATTTTGCAACAGCATCTAACATTTCATCCTTAAAACGAATTATTGTTTGCTCATGCTTAATTATGGTGTCATTGTTTATTTTATTTTGATCTTCCAGTGATGCAATCTGCCTTCGAAGCGTGTCAACATTTTGTTTCAAATTTTTGATACGCTCTTCATTATATTCAACATTAGCAAGCCTTGCAGATAATTGTGATTTTGTATCAAATAATTCAGTTCTTGATTTCTCTAATTGTTCATTTAACATTTTTTCATTTATATTTTTCTCTTTTTTATATGTATCATATTCATCTTCAAGTGCTTTCAACTTTTCCAAAGCTTGCGACAGCTTCTGCTCTACTTCTTTACTCTTATGTAACTGGGGAGACATTGAAGTTGTTTTTGAGTTGAGTTGCACATTTGAGTTGTCACCATTTTTAGAGTCGTCTGCTAATTCTTCCACATTAGCAGTCTTATCAGATTTCGGTTTGTAATGTGCACTGTTATCTAAAAGTTCTTGATACAATTTGCGATATGTGTCTCTTTGTCGAATTACGCTGTTAACCATTTTTATTTGCTGTTGCTGTTGCTCATGTAAAGAGCTAATTTTCTTCTCTTGCTCGTCTATCTTTACCTGGAGACTAACTGTATCTGCCCCACCCACATTTTTTTCAGCTTCTTCCAGTCTATTTGTCATCTCTCTTACTATTAACAATAATTTTTCATTATTTGTTTGAAGCTCCTGAATATCACCAAATGTTACTAAATTCTTTGAAATCAAATCAGCCGCATTTTGAGGAGTTTCTAACAAGCTACTGCTATCATTCATAGGTACCGCATCTCCTCGTAATTCATGAATAGTTTTTGTCAAGAAACACACCTGACGTCCTAAATCAGACATTTGTGTCTTCAATTTCTTGTTTTCTCTTATGTGGTAATTTGATAAGCGCTTGGATTCAGCACATTCTTCACGATATGTATTACATTCACTTATCAAATTATCCAATTGCTCACGCAATGAATTTATGTTTTGCAAAGCGGCTTCATGATCCAATCTCTGTTGTTCTATAATAGGAGCCTTTTCTTCAATTTCCTTCAGAACTATTTGAAGAGAATTATTTAGTTCATCAACTTGATTTTGTTTGATTACTAACTCTTGTGAAACTTTGCAATATTCTGAATATATTTGTGTTAACGTCATTCCAGATTTCAAAACTCTACTAGTGATAGCAGCAGATGGAGCAAGGCTTTCAACGGCTTTTTCTAACAATTCTTGCTTTTTAGCATCCAGTAAATTATTAGCACATTTGAGTTCATCTTTTAATGACTCTATACATGCATTTTTAGATGCAATATTTTCTTCACAAGTAGATTTGACATTTTCTATTTGAAATTCAAGTTCAGAACATTTTTGGCATTCTTCTTCTAATTGTTTCACGGTTGATTCTAATCTCTCTACAAGAAGTTTGTTTTTATGTTCTTGGTCTTCACTAGATTCTTTATACAGATCAGCTAGTCTAGTTTTTGAAGTAATTTCATCCCTATAACTTTCTCTCATTTTGTAAGATTCCTCCCCAAGATCCTTAACTTTTTGAGAAAGTTCTTCAACTCTAGACTCTAAAAGTGCATTTGTTTCATTTAAGTTCTTAATTTGGTTCTGACAAATTCGAACCTCCTCAACCTTTGAAGCTAACTTTGATTGTAAAACAATGGCACTAGACGATTGATCCCTCTTTATGTTAGCTACTTCAGCCCAGCTTTTATTTAAATCTTCCATCAATGATTTTATTTGTTCCTCCAGCATAGGTCTAATACTATTTATCTCTTGTTCTTTAAACTTCAATTCTAATTCCTTGCTGGCTATTTCATCAGCTTTAAGTAAAACTTCGCATTTGGCATTAACTGCATCTTGCATTTGCTTTGTCATGGCAGTAAGATCTGTTTTTAAAATTCCTAGTTCAGTATTGCGTCTTTCTAGAGTTGTAAGAAGCTCATTGCGTTCATCGACTGCGCTATCTCTTTGTTGTCTCATATGCTGTATTTCCTTTTCATAATCTACTACTCTTGCATCAAGACTTTTTAATTGAGATCTAAGTTTCACCACTTCATTTTGTAGTTCTTCAGTTTGTTCTAGAGACGTTTTCAAGCGATTTGAATCAGCTTCATGCTTCCTAAGTACTTCTTCTAATTCACTTTTTAGAACTGCTACTTTTTCATCTAGAATAACAAAAATAAAATTATATTCAACGATATAAATATCAATTTATAATATTATAACGTACTTGTACTATCACGCTCGGCCTGGTGTAAAGCTTTTGATGTCAAACATTCCTCAAAATTCTTTTCTACAAATGCTTCAAGCTTGGTGAAAACTTCAACAGGAATTTTACTAATTTCGTCATCACTCAAAACTTTTTTTAAGATAGTTGTGTTTTCGTTTGCCATTGCAATAAATTATTAAACGTTCATAAAACAGCCATAACATACACAACACACAAAATTAAAATTTAATTGAATTAACCAAATAGATAAAAGGAAACAATTGAAAGCGAGGCTTTAAGAAGTACGCGTTAAAGTAATTTGAGATAACTGTCACTAAATAATAGCATTTTAAATCAGTGTTACCACATCGATAATAAAAGGTGTTACCATGTGTACAGAAAAAGTATTATGGGGATAATAAATTCCAGGGGTGGCCAATATACAACATTTAATTTCTTAATACAATTTTATCATTTTGAATTTTATTTTTGTTAAACGCGTTGAACGTATTATTTATTTTAGTCTTTATGTTTGGTTATAGTCAGCCCACTGAGCTTTTCCAACATTCCAACGACGCCATAATTTAAATTTATTTTGTAGCTCATAAATAAATAAAAGAATAAAATCAGTTGAGTATGAATTTAGAATGTTAGAACAATTAAGAACACAAAATTTGTAATAAATTTTTGAAAGTCTTAAAAACCTTAAATTTTTTAAAATTTTAACGAACAGTTATAAGACAATACTAGTTGCGGGCGGTTGTAAAGAATGTTTCAAAATGTTTAAAAAATTTCAAATGTTTTTAATAACTTCAACATCTTTGACTAATTTGAAAGTAATTTTTTTTACTGCGGCTTTAATTACTTTTGCTATCTAAAAATATAAATTGATGCAATATACATAAAACTTTATTGATATATATATAAATATATTTACATATCACCTCATATATGATTTACGTTCATATATGTTCACTATAAATTCTAAATTTGCAATATAAAACCTAAAGGTTGTATTTAAAACCTAATTTTTCTAATTAAGTATTTGATAAAATCTATCACAAATGACCCATTTACAAAGATTTTCTATGACAGTATTCTAATACCTTATTTTTACTTATAGTTATAGTAAAACAAGAAATAAATATCACTAAACAATACTTATGATCAAAATGTATACATTTGATGAATGAATATATGCAATGAAAATTAATATAAGATGCACTTCTATGAGTTGACAACATTTAATAGATGCTAAAAGGCAGCATTGTTAAATATCTTATCAATCTATCTTTATTAAATAATAAAAATTAAGAAATTAATCATCCTCCTAAATCATGTTTTTATATTGTAACTAAATCACATATTAATTTTAAGTCAAATTTTAAGCCAAATTATTTCTTCTAACAATAAGTACATAATTTATATTTTTACGAATATCATATAATTACAAATTATATGTTATAGTGTAAAATGTACTAATATACATTATGCATGTAAAAATTTTGTCTAGAAGCACAGCCTTTAATTCATTTACTGTAATACACTTAATAGAACAAAAAAAAAGTTATTTCAAATTAATAAAAAGTTTGAACAAATAATACAAATAAATTGTAAGCATTAAATTGCAGTTAATTAGAATATGCAAGAGAGCTCTAGACAATCAATATGATTTTATAAATAAATATATAATCATTTCAATTAAAATTGTTATAATCATTGAACACATTTAGTTGTCTTTTGAGTCAAATTCGAGGATATTTATTCATACCTTATTTTCAAGTTATAATATTGTTTCTACACAAATATTATGAAATTTTTATACAGTTAACAACTTTTCTTCACCAATATGGTGCAAAAATAGAGATTTATAAACTCAACATTTTATTATATATCTATATGTTGCACATCATTGCACATATAATATTATGCTTGTATGAATAACATACCAAATGCATCATGGCTGCAGTTGATTTCTTGTAAAGCTAACATAGCTGACAACGACATCCACATTTTTTCTTTTAAATAATTAACATTTTGTCTGGCTTTGGGCGGTCATTCTATAATTTACTAGCATTTAGGTTTTTTCTTTATCAATATAAATCTTCACCAGATTCCATACCAACTAGTAAATTTTTCTTTTCTTCTTTTTTCGATTTGTGCTTTTCAGTAGGTTCTCTGTAACTGACAGGATCAAAACAAGGCTGCAGACAAAAATATAACAAATTACATGCCATTTTATCCAAAGTATAAATCCATATGAATTAATGTAATGATAATTATAATATGATATAACTTATATGACTTTGCAGTGAAATTATTAGCATTATAAGTCACTTTCCAAGATTGCATACCGTTTCACAAATATTCATATTACAGCAATTTTCAATAGTAATTTCACAGGTATCCGGACCAACTATAGTTTGCTGAGTAACTGTTGTTCCATTTGATGCATCTGGAGAAGGCCTTGCAGACATAGGCTGATTTTTGTTAACTATTATTCTTTTGTGAATTCTTGGCCTTCTTGTGCTGTGATATAATTTCCATGTTAAAACACAAGTGGTCAAGAATAAAAGACAACATAAAGAAGCTAGAACAGGTATGGGAGATCTTGAAAGGCATTCACTAATAGTGGAATCATAAACTGCATCACTCTGAAAAATAGGTATTAATGTTTTATTACACACAGCACTTTAATTTTAAATTATTTATAGTATGAAATTTTTTGACAAAAAAGATTGAGATAAATAAATATATATATATATATATATATATATATATATATATATATATGCAATCATCAAATTACTACCTTAAGTTCATCAATTTCATCTGATTCATTTCTTTGCATCGAAGACCCTTTGATTTTGCTCATCTCTTGTGTAGGAGTCAGCATAGCTAGAGCGGACCGTTTCTTAATTACTTCACATCTCTCTCCTTCTTTTTCAGAGGGACAATCACATTGCGGCTTATCATTTATTATATGACACTGGGCATCTCCTAAGCAATAATTGTGGCACAAAGGCAGTTCACAATGGGTCCCTGTGTATCCACTAACGCATTGACAAGTCATACCAACAAGTGTGCCATGCATACATTGTAATTCAATTTGAGGAACAGGTTCAGTGCGATTCTGTAACATCTGCAGCAATAAATTAATTTAATTTCTTCATAAAACTCAATATGATTTTCATATCACTACTAAATAGTCATCATATAACTTTTATTTAAACAAACATTGTAAATGTTGGGAATTAAAACTTATTTGTAAAAATACATAAATATCGAAAGAACGTACATCCATTACTGATGAGCATTCCTCAGAATTTCCATATGCTTGAGCAGTATTTAACCTAGTAACGACCGCAATTGGATCAGAATGAAACTTTTGTAAAATAACAGGTTTAAAAACATTCTTCATTTCATTATGATCTAAGCTCCAAAGTGCTTTATAAACCCAGTCTGTCCAAAATATTCTACCATCCCCTGATATTGCAAGACCACTAGGCTGATGATCCTTTCCATTGTAAATTATTTTGCGATCAGTTCCTATTATAATTATTATTTAATCAGAGACATAAAATATAATAATCAAAATCACATAGATATATAATGATAATTTTTGTATCCACTTAACAAAACTGATACCACAAGTAGTTATGTTTTGCAAATTCTTAACATGAAAAAATAATGAAAACAAAGCTTTAAATTTACCATCAAGAGCGGCACTTTCAATTCTGAAATAGACCCCTTCTTTGTCATCAGCCCAATAAATTCGCTTAGCATTTTGATCAATAATAATGTCTAAAGGTATAAATAAATCAGTATTAATAAGTACTTCACGTCCAGTTCCATCTAAATTCGACCTTTCTATGGAAGGTGATTTATGATTTGCATTTGTCCAATATAATTTTCTAAAAACGATAAATATAATATAATGAATACATAATCTATTAATATGGTACAAATCTAATAAGCTTGCCTTCTTATCTTACTATTCGCTATAATAGCAAAAACTATACGTGGTTGTTGGTTCATTACATTTAGTTCATTCATCTTCTGCATTAAGTAATTTACAAGACACTATTATTCTTTGCACATAGTAAGATAAAAATAAGCTTTTCCGAGAATAAGCCATATGTTTATGTTCATGTTCATCATACCTTCGACACGCGTCAACCGTTATTCCTTGAGGCATTTCTTGGTCAAAACTCATAAAAACACGTCTTTTACCAGCTTCATATTGTTGGTCAGGCGTATCAAAGGCAGGTAGATCGTACTTAAAAATTCGACGTCCAGCCGATCCGTCTGTCCAGAAAATGGCACGCTCGACAGGGTCGTAAGCGATGCCTTGTATAGGTGCGTCGCCTGGACGACGCAAAACCACAGATTTACCGATAGCACCAGTTTGGGATTGAGCTGGTCCTGATAAGTCGATAGACCGGAGACTGGAAAAGTAAAATGAATTACATTAAGCTTGCCTTGAAGCAAACATTACATTCTGCAAACGAATATTAGATAAAAAAATTAATGAACAACTTATAACTTGAGATGTTAAAATATTTTTCTTAATTTCTAATTTATAAATGCGCCTCAAAGTACAATTATGAGAAAAGTTATTGTGACTGTGTATCAGACTAGAGCACGAAGCTTATGGACCCTTTATTTTTTATAATGATATAAATGGCATTAGCGATTTATGCCATGTAAAGCTCTTTTTGAAAGAAAAAAACGACATGCTGATTTGCCCAACCAATTATATGAAACCCCGTAGACCCGCGGGTTGGGAATCCCCAACGTGCATAAGCTAAAATTAATAAAAATCACCCTAATTTTCCTTAGGGACAGGTACTTTAGTCAATCGAAAGCCACCATTAGCTATAAAGGATATAATAAATAAGTTGCTCGAAGAAAAGGGAAAACAAGTGTAATTTGGTAAAATTTTTGGCGGAGTAACAGATGGATAATTATGAAGAATAAATATATATTTGGATTTTACTATTTTCTTCTAGCCAATTTACTTGAAATTCAATTATTCTTCACACTTCTGCGTAATCATAAAATAAATAATGAAAAAAGGTAAATTTGAACTGGTTATGATTAATCTCCTAACAAAAAAAAATGTCGGCTGGACATCATTAACCGGGAGACGTAAGATTAAACCCTACAAAATTGTTGCCAAATGTTGATAATTAAACATTTACTTTATTTTTGTATGTTATTATTTTAAATTTATAAAAAAAACTATATCGGGTAGATGGCAAAGAGGTTCATGATGGGTTCATGGCAAAGCCTAAGGGGTGGACCCGACACAAACAAATTTGGAAACCTATTATTTAGACTAATTAGCAACTAATTATGAAATACCAAAGTAACTAAATAAATTAAAAAAGTACTTTCACTTTGAATAACAGTTTAAACCAATATAAGCAGAACCACAGTATTTTTTGCCTTTTGTTCATGATTACGGCAGAGAATGTATTTGAAAATACACAATCGTATTTCAATGTGTTCAATGACACACAAATTTAATAATGAAATAGCAAGTTTGAAATTTCTTTATCGACTTTTGTCAAAAAGACCTTTAAAATAACAAATCGCATTACGACAATACCATTCATATTACATATTTCATAATTATTAGTTATTATCACATATATAAAAAAATAACTATTATTAAATTAAATAAGAATACATATTAAAGGTATACGTGGTGATAGTATTTATTAGGGATTGAATTTATATTATTTTCCAACCAACCTGCTATCTCCTGAGTTATCTCCATAAAATAGTTTTTGTTCTAAGGGATCATAGTACATTGCTCCTGGTTTTGCTTGCAAGGCTGTGGTTGTTAGTAATTCTCCTGCAGAAGTTTCCAAACCTATCCCGCCATCATGAGAAACAGCAATATCTATTAAATAATATATGTTCTATTAGTAGATGTATACCAATTTATATTGTTTCAACTAGAACATTCAATAAAAGTAGATACTTATATAATGTCAAATTTGATGTTGACCTATTTATTAAGAGAGACTAATGACTGGGCGTAACACCAATAAAAAAAATCATTTTTTTTATTGATATATTATATGGGTGATGATTTATATTCAATTATATATAACTTGAGATAAATGATCAGGGGTCAAAATTGTGGAAATTTATAAATATTTTTGATATTCTTAAGTTAGAAGCGAGTTTCCAGTTTAAGTAAAGTTTTATGTCTAATATTAAATATGCCAAAACTAATAATCTATAATAAAACTAATAAGGATGTGGTCTATTGTAATATATTTTTATTGACATATCACACACAACAAACAGAAACAAACCAGAATAAAAAAGTTTAAAGATGAATAATATTAGAGGGTATTGACTGGAATATTAGGGATTAATGAAATAAAAGATCAAAAACTTATTAAAAATTGATACATTAATTCAATTGAATAGTATTAATAATGGTAACAGTAATTTCTGGATCAAAAGCCTTTTTTTCTTCCAAAAATTCCTTATTTAAATTTTTAATAATTTTATTTAGGGATATGGAGTGTCTTCTTCCTTCAGGAACTATTGATAACAAATTTTAAAAATATATATTTATACACTTGAATTTAATTTTAAAATTTTTGTGGTAAATTTAAAACCAAAACCTCTAATTACCTGCTATATTGTTTATGTAATTCTCTATTTGGGACAATTCATTTGGGATTTATTTGAACTGCGATCAGAAGGGTCATAAATTGTTATGGTTTTACTTAACTACGTATCTTTTCAAAGACAAAGATTGGTCTATCTTTATTTTATGAATTTATTGTTATAATTTCTGTAATACTCATGATTTTTTTATTGATGCAGCAATGCCGGGTGAAAGCAATTTTCACTGATACATATTGCTATCTATATTTCGAAGTGAAAACCGATGTCATTCTTGACATCGAGCTGTCCCATCGCTCTAACCACTGATCTCAAAGGAAGACTTATGCGGAAAAGAACAGAATTTCTTTAAATGTTTCTAATATAATTCTTATAAATCCATTAACTAGTTTACTAGTTCATCGGGCTAAATAGTCATTTCCGATTAATTTTGAATTGCAAATCAGTATACAAAAACAAAAATACTTTTATCGTAAACAGAATAATTGATGTCATTAGGTAGCTATTTCAAATACGAGTTCAGCTAATGGTGAACTGATAAGGAAATTCGAATAACAAATCGGAAAGTATTCGACGTGACGCAGATTTAAATGAATGCATGAGTCTAATCCGCAATACTGAATTACGCAGCACAAACAAATAATAAATAAATATATATATATATATATATATATATATATATATATATATATATATATATACAGGGCCGGATTTAGAAATTTGGCGCCCCGGGGCACTGACAAAAATGCCGCCCCATCCCTGAAATTTTACGAATTTTCGAACTTTTTTTTAAAGCAATCGCGCTGCTTCAGCTGCGAGGGATAAAATATAGAAGCGCGTAAGCGCCGCGTCGCAGTCTAACGGATAAACAATGTTACAGAACTTATATAATGTAAACAAAATGTATACTTATTATTATAATATCTTTAAAATATCTGATAATTTAATGTGTCTATGTCTTATGATCACTTTTGTCCGCCAAATGTTTCTTTTTCAAATTTTTTTATTGAACCATCGAAACCGCTAAACCTGCCCCCCATAAATTTCAGCAGTTATTTATTGTGTAATTTTTTTTTAATGTTATTGGTCGCTTTTTTCTCAAAAACTCAATTATTATTTTTGGCATTTTGGCCCGTATCTTCAAAACAGTTGGACCTGCCTTGACCAATAACTAATCGCACGTCTCCTTATCAATAGGAATTGAATCATAAATCGGTTGATCTGTGTTCTCGAAATCGACTTGAATAATTAAAAAATATTAGATTTGTATTGATGGGGAGACGTGCCGATTAGCTTTTGGTACAGGCAATTACGAAAAATGGTAATTGAGTTTCGATATTTCTTCTCTGAAACAGCTACGTAGCGCGATTGCTTAGTAAAAATTTAAAACTCTTTATAAAATGTAATTTTTAGTAAGGGATGTTTCAGTAATTTGTCTTAAGGAAAAATGCCATGAGTCACTAGTTTAAATTTTTTTTTCGACGATATAAGCTTGGAAGTGCACAAATACGTCATTTTAAGAGGTCTCGAGAACTGAAGAACAAATTTTTCTTAAACTTTCACCTTGTTTACGGATCTTTATATTAGCCTAATTGCCAAATTTGATAACTTAATAACCAATTTGATAATTTACGTTCGGAGATAGAGGCTAGGCAAAATAATAAATTTTAGTTAACATTTATTTCAACCCAAATTTTGCATTGCAATCGTATTATGTTTTGTTAATTATATTTCTTGAAATAAAAAATGTTGTTAAAAAAGTTGATTATATTGTATAGAATTTTTTTCTCACTATCCAAACTTTGCCGCCCCCCAAAATTTGCCGCCCTGGGCAGTAGCCCCGATTGCCCCTACTGTAAATCCAGCACTGTATATATATATATATATATATATATATATATATATATATATATATATATATATGTATGTATGTATCATGTATCCATTGAGAGTTGAGATCTAATGATCAAGCGTTACATCAATGAGAAAGAATTGTATGCATTTTTAACTATCCGTAGGGTAAGTTATTGCTATCGTCCAAAAATCAAAATTGAAAATTTTTGCATATCTTTACGTTTCAGAGTTACAGTATTTATAATCTATTTGAGAACATTGGACATTTCTTGAATATTTTATAACTGTACGAGAAGTTCCAGCAATTTGCCTTAATGCACGATACCATACACTACTAGTTATAATTTTATTTAATATCCATACATTTCAGATAGCATTCTAGGAGGCACTGAAGTTTAAAGGGTGAGGAGAGTTCGATAAAAAATCACGAAATATCACGTGGGAGAGGGGTGGTTCTAGTAAGATTTCACGTACTGTAATTTACTTTTTATCGAAAAGCCTTTTTTTTAAAAAAAAAATCTAGATACTAAAAATACATGTGATGTTTGGTGTTGAGATAGGCATATTTTTAAATATCATGACGTAACACCAAGGAGGAGGCCGAGATCCAAAATTCTTAGAAGTCGATAATGTGATTCATGGACGGCCCCCTAGTTTATTCACATCGTAACATCATTATTTAAAAATAAAAATAATTTTTCGTTCATTTTTATATGAAATCAAAATCTTTGGTTTATTTTCGAAGATAGCATTTTGTTAACAGTCGTATGTCCCCCCAGTGAAGGAGCGCGCTCCCCAGATTGGAAATGAGGTTGTTCATATTCAAAATATAAGAAGTTTCAAGCGGAAACTATATTTCAATCTGATGCAAAATAAGAATTGGGCAGTTAATTATATTTTAATGGCTCCTTAACTTGAAGAGTTAACAAAAAATACCATCTTCATTAAAATCAATTGTATCTATGCAGTCTGTAACAAGAAATTTCCTGTTTTGATTAGGAAACCGATGCCTTCAGTTCATAGACCTATGACGCACATCATGTTTTTTTTTTGTTATATAACAAATCAGAATTAAATGCCAATTGCGCAACATTATTTTTATTTCTGACTTTCTCACTAGTTGTTAAATGTCATATTTAAATGGTATATTTAATTTAATTTTATTACAAATTAACAAGATAGACCTAAAATAATCGTTGTATCAATTACAATACTGGTATGTAAAAGGAGTAAGATTATCAATAAAGATAAAATATTTGTAATTAGTAAGGCAGGTACAATCTGCCTTATCAGCTCAAGTGTTAGCGGGTGTGCGAATCCACTAACAAGCTTCCAACAATAATATAATTGTAGTCTGCCTATCATTCCCATTACCAACATTCCTCCCCCCTTTTTACACTTTTTTTAAATGTATTTTTCTTTCCAAACTTCTGTTTCCATGCTTCCTGATCCTACGCTTCGGCTTTTAGTTCTCTAAATTTTCTCTTTTCGCCTAAGGTCGTCTTGTTCTTCTTCCCATTCCTTTCAGTCGTATTTTACCTTCGACTACGTCGTGTAATTGGTGCTTTTTTTGCAGAACGGGTTCGACCCAGTTTCCTTTTCTTTACACGATGATGCTCAGTAGAGTCCTTTCTTCGCCCACTCTTCTCAGGACTTCATTTATTTCATATATATGTAATGTTAGAGCAGGTAATAATAATCATTCAATTTCTTAGTAATATTTCTTTAGATTTTTAAAAGTTATTCGCTCTTTTTGCGCTTGAAGCGAGTGGTCGTTTTTAATAATTTATTGTATCTATACATACGAAATGTAGAATAAAGCTATATGTGTGTGTGTGTACTTTTTTCTAAGGCGATATATCAAATGAAAGACGTTTTCCAAACGTTTCGACATAAGATTTTATGTCTTTTTTATAGATTTATTTAGTAATCAGTAAGATACAATATTTCTCAAAGTGAGGACTAAATAAATGTTGAACTAAGATAGAATCCACTCATCTATCTTTCAATACTTGTACTTACTTATTAATTGTATATTATTAATGATCTCAATTATATATTTTCTTAAGGCCATTTTTCTTTAATCTTGAGTTTCGGTGGGAGCGCAATATGTCATTTATTACCTAATTTGGGTGAATATTTAATCTATTGTGATATTTTGAAGTCAGCTCCATGTAGGTTTGGTACAAAGTCAGAATTTTTAGAACATTTGGACAGTTTGGATAGTGATACACCAGTACACCAGGGAGAGTTGAGTATTGTTCTAAATATTTTGGTTTGTGTTTTCAGTACAGTTTCCAAATTGGATTTAGAGGCGAATCCCCATAGCTCTTAACCGTAAGTCCATATTCGTTTGATGATATCTTTTTACAATAATAGTTTATTTTCCACGGATAATTTGGA